TTCCTCCAGCCTATGATCATGCTTATCTTTTCTTCTTCGCCTCTTGAGAAACTAGGGGGAAGTCTTTCCATTCCTCTTGTAATCATGACCCAAACTGTAATTACCTTACAGAAACATCAACAGTCTGATTGTGAGTGGGAATGTGGTGAAAACTTAAATAGCAGCCAGAGATTTTATAAACCTCAGATTGTAGGAAAGAAATGCTTAATGAGGCCACATGTATGAGTTACAAAGTTGTAAAAAATATAATAATAAAGACGGTGATGTCTTTTTAAAATGACAAAACTCCTTCCATTTGGAAGTGACTTATGTGATACAGTCCTGTAGTGTCCCTGAACTACAAGGCTGGACCTGAGCTGTTGTGCTATGTTGAGGGCAGCCCCATGCAGAGAGTCCAACAGTTCAGCTCACATGGCCAGACAGAAGGCACCTGATCCTCTCCCAGGGGTGCAAAGAGACAGATGGAGCAAATAAAGAGGGGTAGAAAACAAGGGATCAGATTTACTGAACTAACACACCGCTCAAGGTAACAAGAGGACACGGAAAAATATATGATTGATGTTTCTCCCATCTTCCTCCTATTTTGGCGACTGTGATGTACTGCATCTAGAGCAGTTTTTTTACACAAATTTGAATTAATTTGTTTGAGTTTGTTTCCCTTTGTTCATTCAGGACACCAGGAACAGCACTGAAGAGAAACCTGTCCAGCGATCTAAGGTAAACATGTATCTTCTGCCTCTTCATATTATTCTGTTGTGCTGTGTGCATTACTCCACTCCACTTCACTTTCGTCAGCCTTTGATCTCGGAAAAGAACAGAGGAAGTCTTTCCTGCATTTTGTGTCTTTTTACAAATGCTAGCTTTCATCTCACTAAGGATGGAGGGCCTAGCTCCCTGTCTGTTTTGTGTCTGGTACTAAATCTGTTTATTTTATGTGCTCAGTCCTTTAGCTTTAAAACCCAAAAGGAAGTGTGTACAGCATGTGAGAAGACGGTCTACCCAATGGAGAGATTGGTTGCCAATAACATGGTCTTCCATTCAGCATGCTTCTGCTGCAAACACTGCAACGCCAAACTCAGGTGACTTTTCTAATGTTCCTGTTTTGCATGTTTGCATGACTTTCCTCTTCCAATCATTCCTTTTTTGGATTGTGTGTAACCCTTTCCTTCTTTGCCTCCTTGCAGCCTTGGCACATTCGCAGCTCTTCAAGGTGAATTCTACTGTAAACCTCACTTTCAGCAGCTGTTCAAAAGCAAAGGCAACTACGATGAAGGCTTCGGACGCAAACAGCACAAAGAGCTCTGGGCCTCCAAGGAGTCAGATAATATAACAAAGACAGCATAATCATGTCTGGCTGTGTCCCATCCCAGTCCTGTCTCTCTCTCCCTCTCCCTCCCACCCCCCCTCCCCCCTCCCCCTTCCTCCTTACACTTCCTATACATCACGATGAACACATGCCTCACGTGCTGGGGGTACTGGTAAAATCACCCAGGCACTCACTTGCTTTTTGAAGGCCATCAGAACAGATACATGCACAAACAGATAGGAAAGGACTGGCCAGTCATAATCATTCCACTTAAAAATAATAATAGTCATAGTCTGGGTTTGATTTTATTAATGTGTATTTTCTTATTTCCTGCTTGGAATTGGTAGATGATTGTGACCAAATGCCTTCTCTGGTATGGGAAGTTTAATAATAATCACTTTTTTTTTTTCCTCTTTTTTTTTAATTATTATGATTTTTTTAAATCATTTGCACCCTTTTACTTTACGAGTAAGTAATCTGTGTGCTCAGGCAAACATATCAGAGGGGTAACAGAGCATCCATGTTTTGCAGTAGAGCATAAACTCAGGTCAATTTTCATCCAAGAGTTTCTCGAACATATTGCTTAATTTAACTCATTTCAAATAAATAACACAAACCCAGTAATAGCCCTCAGTATTTTGACTTTGCCGTCAAGAGACATTAATGTCAGTTTGTCAGGTTTCATATTTATGATGAACAAACAGGGTGCAGAGTACTGTAAACATAACCGCACACATCAGCAACAGCTCACCTCTCGCATTTTAAATGTTTGTGTTTTATTTCGGTTGCTCCAACCCGATGGTTTGTTCTTATTTTATTAACCACTTTGAGTCTTATCCTTGCATGTTGGGATGACTGGTTCTTAATAGCCTTATCTTATGACTGTATCGATCTTTTGTGTTGTGAATGATTTGTCTCCATGATGCATAGCAAATCACTTCTTAAGGGGGTTTCCAAGAGTTTGGATTTGATTGATGTCATGGCATAAGTTGATCCTCTCCAAGCTTCGATGGGTGAACTTTTAATGGAATTCTCAGATTGTGCGTTTTGTATTCTGTCTGTACATAGAGCTGTAGTTTGTGACTTAGTGAACATTCCCCACCAAATGCTACTCTCCACTTCCACATACAACCCCACATCCTCACCAGACTAGATGTGGATAATCACAGAGAAACGGAGGCTTTGTGTGTAAACATCCCTCAGCTGAAACATGAAACAACAAGAGGAGGTATATACGGTTATCAGCTAAGTGGAATACCACAGAGACATTTGTTCATCACAAATGAGGATGTTAACAGACAATGCTTAAGCCTTGCAGGTAATCTCAAAACTTTTTTCTTCATCATATCACCCTTGTCAGCATCTTGTGAGGGTTTTTCCCAGCTGTATTTAGGCGTAATATAACTGGATAGATTTCACTGGGGCGTGGATGGATCCTATCCATTCATATTTTTGTTCCCCCAAGTCCCATCTAGTTAGAATAGACGGTTTCCTTCTTTTTAAGTAATGCCTTCCTGATCTCATCTTATTCGCTAAATGCATCTTAGCACTTAGCCTTTAGCACCTGGACCTATTTCTTATATTGAATTAACAGTACGTGTTTGAGGGAGGGTTTGTCGTTGTATTGGTCCCCTTTTGTGCTCCTGCATGCTTGCATGATAAACTCGGTGCAGAGCACCCCCTACTGGGGAAAGTGTGACAGTAACGACTGGAGAAAGTGTGAAAAGAGTATAGGAAGAAAAAAAGTCTTGCCTGTGAACTCAAGGAAGCCTTTATTCAAAGTTTAGTAATATGTTGCCTCAGTCTGCTGTGCAGCTACTGCACTTCAGCTACTTTGATCTTACTTAATTCCAACACCTAAGAGAAATTAACACAGTTAAACAAGACTTCCACTTCTATTTTTCATTCCTTATATAGAATGAGTCTAAAGCCATTCAAATATTTCATTATAGAAAATGTCTGATTACCACTAAGACTTGACTGACACTTGAATGACACAAAGTACTTTTTGTGAGTGAAAGTTTACTGTGAATTTAAGAGTGCTGTGCGGAAAAATAGAAACTTAAAGAGATGGATATTTTCTTGATTTTAAAGGAGAGGCCTTAGAAATAAATAGCTGACCTTGCTTTTTCAAACTAGTTCTTTGAATCCACAAATCTAGACCCAACAAATGTCCTGTTCATGTCCAGAAACAGACAGGCTAACTGTAGAATCCCACTCTTTAACATAGGATTACTTCACCCAACCAGCATCACCTTCTAATCTAACCACTTTTTAGCAACATGTATTTCTCAATCATTTCTAATTATACTTGTGTGACTATGTATATTTCTTTTTTCATTATTATTTTACATTTTAAAACGGTCCTCTGGATCCCTGAGAATGCTTTAAAATCACAAGTATCTAGAAATGCTGTTTTTGTCATTCTCCATTAGCAGTTCGCCAAGGTACAACTTCAGAATCTGTGAATTGCAACGTGTTATTGTAACAGAGTAGATAAGGTACACTTTTACACTGGTGCCAAGAGGCTCAGGTGAATGATTGCAGTGTCACGTTTTAAATGTAAAACCTGTGAGTCATTTCATTTTTTGTGCTATACTTGATGTGGACTTACTTCTCAATGCTGTTGTTATCGAGACATTTTAAATGTATGCATCTTTGAAACTTTAATCTGTATTAAAGACTTGACCTGTGGATTGAGGTGGCCTTACTGAAAAAGGACGCTTGGACTGTGTTGGCAGTCTTTCCCCTCTATTCCCCCTTCTCTCTATTGCTTAGCTGTGGTATGGAAATGTATCATTTTAAAAGCACCCCCTTTCTACGCCAATATACACATTCATTTTGTGCATTTTCTTCCTTGTTTTTATTTTTTTTTTACATGCTTTTTGAGAAAAAAAATAAAATGCTGGTGTTGATTTAATGCAGTGTGTTTATTAATATAAAATAGCAATATAAAGTATTTTCTGTTTACTGTTCCTTCTACTTCTCAACTACATGTAAGAGGGGAGCATTGGATCACAAGTTACTTTACATCTATGAGAAGATTGTTGATTTAAGTTATTATAATGACATTTTTTTAATAACCAAGTTAACAGAGCACACAGCTGGATGAGTTGATCTTTTTTTGTGCAAAGAAAAAAGTGAAATAGTTGTATCTTCACAAATATATGCGTACTGCTTTTTTTGGATATACTTTAATGTAGATGATTAAATAGGTTATGATTTATGGACCAGGGAGCAATGTAAGATATTTCCTGCAGTTCTCTTTTAGTTCTTATAAACTAGAATGGCAGTGAATTAGGCAAAATAAAAAGCAAATAATTTAGACTAAAATAATCAGTTTTGGCAACGAATTAAAAAAAGATAAGTAGCTTCTGACATGCAAACACTTTATTTTGTCATAATGAATAAGATTAATCTGATATAATATATAGACATTTTTGTTGTAAAGCAGCCCGCGATGTTTCTCCGAGCGGGCTTACATTACTCTCCTTAAGCAACACTCTTAATGAATTATTGTTACTTTCAAAAGAGTGTTAAAACGCGTTAAATCCCTGTATTTTTGCATGCAGCGGCAGAATGGCAATAGATGTTGAAGAACGATTTTCCCAAGGATCGTGAACGCAGCATAAACCAGATCTACGTCACGGCAGCCCCGCCCCTCTAATAATTTCGTGCGCGCACCCGTGGAAAGACTTCGACCAAGTAACAGCGCGTTCCCGCGGCTGCTCGGAGCAAATGTAAATAGTTTAGTTAGAAAAATCCCCCCGGGAATAAAATGTCTTATCACCTACGAGTGGACGACGGCGTCTGGCATTCAGAAAATCATGGATCCAATCTTGGAGAAGAGTTTTCATGACCTGTTGGAAGCCTAAAGCGGGTTCCGGTGGCGATATGTTCTGTCAGGAAGTTTGACGTTTTTCTGCTCTGAAACATTTTTTTCTTGCTTTGTTTTGTTTGGAAAAAAAAAAAAAGTTATGGACTACCTTTGCAACAGAAAGCGCACGACAATTCTGTGACTTTTTTTATTTTATTTTATTCCATTTTTTCCACTATTAAGTTAGTGAGGATTTTACATGTTTTTTGTTTTTGTTTTTGTTAACGCAATTAAAAGTGTTCGAGGCTATGCGCAGTGTAAACAACAACTTTTGTTTCGGCTGACAGTTTCATGCCTATGTTAAGTTATTTTATGTGCATCACAGATAGAATGCCGGTAATATTTTTTTGTTTAAAGCCCTTTTTGTCTTTTCAATCAGTTTAATCTGCAAGCTTGAGCTCCATTATATCGCGCTCTGAATCAAATTCCCATCTACTTATGTTACAGGCCAGAGATGGGCCTTTAACTATTTCTATATGTTTAGATCCATATTCAAGTCAGCAATGCGACGCTGTTATCTATAATTCATCCATAAAAGTAAAAATATGTCTAGCCTAGAGTGTTTTGGACTCTAACCTGGCAACACAGAGAGAGAGAGAGCAAATCTGCAAACTTCGCTGCAAGAGAGACCGTCACATCACGGAAACTGTACGGTGTGTTCCTCAGGCGGGTTGATGCTCACTCTCAAATGGATTTCATACAGGCCATACGCTTATTGTTACACCTTGTTGGGTAGTTTTTGGTCGTTTGTAACAATGCCATGGGACGCAGCTCCCAGTCTCTTAGAGGCTTGACTGTGCTTGATGTCGAGTTTGTCCTCTGAAAATGTTTTGGAAATTTAAGTTTTCCAGAGATTGGAGGCAACAGCTGAGCAGAAGTTTTACTGGAGCGGGAGCAGTGTGATGCATTCTTTTCCATCGGAACATTTTCTCTGTAAAACACACAGCAGTCTGACGTGACCGTGTTTTGTTTTTGTTTTTTTTACTACCTGGAAAGTATCCACTTGTGTGTGTGTGTGTGTGTGTGTGTGCGCGCTTTAACTTTCCACTGAAGAAGAAGAGACCCTGTAACCTGGGGGGTCAGCCCCGCCATGGCGCCCCCTCACACACACACTCACACACACTCCCCGGTGTGTCGGTCTGACTGAGGGCACTGATGGACGTGAACCAATCCTGGATGCACTGCGTCATCTCTACCGCGAGACACAGGTGACCGGAGTCAGCTGCACGCGGGAGAAGCCCTGACTTGTCCTGACGAAGGTCGTCAAGGCAACAGGTGAGGGTTTATGGGTTGGGCACGTGACAGGAATGGCAGGTAAATTACGCTGCATTCAAGAAGTCCACTATGTCTCTGTTTAAGAATAAGGCTGTAGAGACTCTTACTTGCACTTGTTTACCAAGAAAAAGTATGTCCAGTGTTATTTTGTATTCTTTTTTATTTGTTTAATTATTTCACTAATAACCCAACATTCAGGTCCATAATTCAGGTGAAGAAAAATAGTTCTGAATATTGTTTGTCATGGTATTGCCCTTTTAGTGGTCATATATAAATATATCCAGAGCCAAACAATATTTGAATAAAATGTTTGAGCATTCTTACATTGTAGAAACTGTAGTTACTTTAGAATATAAACTCCCAAAACAAAGAACATGACCTCTGTTTCCGACATGGTAGGGTCCTGTTTGGACTGTTGGGTAGTTTTTGCTAATATTCATATTTACATAAGTTTGGTTGTCTTGAGTATTCATTCTCATTTACAGCATCACTGTAACCAAATTATCACAAACAGTCAGCAAGTAAATAATAAACAAACCAAGTGAAAAGCTGGTTGATAATATCCCAAAGCTCAGTAACTGAGAGATGCTTCTAAGACCACCGATAAATATCCTTGAATCAAGTACGTAGCTTTCACTGTAAAAGTGTTTTGTTTTGAAATATGAACCCAAATGCAACACTCGTAGTGAAAAGACTACAGCTAATTGATCAAGTAGGAAAACTTTGAGCGAGTCCAGTCCCACGTCTTTGCCGATACTGCAATATTTAGATGTGGTTGTTACCCTGAACCTGAAACACATGTGCACCTGAAACAGGATAGACATCGGGCCTAGGGGATTTTGCTGAGAAGCGCTGAATCCAGATGCATCTCTGGCCAAAGACACAGTAAGAACTGTGGCTGGGAAAAACAGCCTCAGACTAAACACCTCTCAAAGCAGACAGAGAATAAAAAAATGTGTGTGTGAGTGAAGGGGGGGACGACAAAATCCATGTAAATCCTGCTAGTACTGGAAATGTGATACAAGGAAAATAAAGCAGGCACAGCTGACTGGATTGGTAGAGCACAGCCTCCTTCTTCAATGAATTCCCTGAATTCCACCGGGGAGGTAATAAAAATCAGGCGAGACCAGGTTTACTGTGAGAATGGACGGAGACGTTGGTTTTGTTGTTTAACTAAAGAACTCTTTGGGGGGCACATTTTGAGCCGATGCTCTGCAGCACTTTTTTTTTTCTTTCTTTTTTTTACAATTCTCTCTGGAGTAAATTTTGAGGGTAGAGGGGTGATAAAGCCTCTGAGTGTCCTGAAATGACATCCATCCGTGCTTCTAAAGGTGGAACTGCACACCTAATTAACTCCATGTAATTTAAAATGTGATACAAAACTATAAGCATGGAAGTGAGAAGGGTGGAAGGATTGAAGTCCTTTGCACCTACTCCATTGGCGGGGTGAACACGAGAGCAGCAGAAGCTTGAAAGCAACATGGCAACGCTCCACCGGCCACAGACGGACATGCCTGGGATTCCTGTGGGTGATTATTACCCAGAAATCCACAGAGTCAATGAGTTGCCTCAGGTGCCAATGCTGCCCATTTCATATACAGAAATAGTTTACCGCATCCGAGTTTTCTTCTCAGACGACCTTCTGACTGTTCCAATCTGCCCTCAGGGAGACAGTTACAACCTCTTCTGTGTGCTCCATCCCGAGACACTGTTCACCCTGATCTGTAGTTTTCTCTGTCAGGTTTTTGTCCACACTTTTACTGTAAATGAAAATGTCTCTAGGCTTGCCTAACCACTGAATTAATGCAGCTGGATAGATTAGCTACAGGATTTTCCTGGGCAAGGTGAATCACTTGGACTCTGCTGTATATCTCTCTGTTCTCCATGAGATTTGTCTGAGACACTAATCTTGCTTGTAGTGGCAAAATATGACTTCCCGTTGAAACTTAGATAGACAGAAACACGTCATCACCCTGGCCCTAATTTGAAAGTTACAATACAGACTTTTGGTGCTCCAAGTCAGTTCAGTGTCTGTACCAAGTCTGGTTTATAAATGTCCGTCACACTCTTTTAGCCACAAATCGGCGCTTACTGTCACAACAATCCCTTCAAGTTTTTTATGCAAGTAATTGTGCATAAAAATAGTTTTGGAAATATATTTTTTTTCAAGTCAGGTCAGTGCATCTTTTGCAAGAGGCAGCTTGCTGTGATCTAGTCTTTGATTCGACTGCTTATAAGTCATGCATATTACCAACCAGTATTCATCCATCATCTACTGTTATGTGAAAACTTTAATCTGTTAAAGAATCTTAAAGTCACATGAGTCCCCTTTTTGTTCTCCTTTGTTGAATTAGTCCACACTCTGTGGTTTATTGGTACAAATTTTAGGACAAACCCTCTCCATTGAAGGAAATGCCTCGGTTTATAACCTCGGTTTAAAACGCTTTCGACGCCTTTAGAGAGCCAGATAATATTGCCCTGTTTCTATCAACAATGGAGTTTGAATAAAAACCACTGAGGTTTCTGCTGCTCGTGCAAACAGACTTTTAAAGCTGCTAGATGTTTCAAACGGCAGAAAAACTCCCCATTATAAAAACATTCTTCCCTTGCAAACTTTGCCAGACCAATTGCTGCCAGTGCAGCTTGAATTTCAGCCGTTTCCAATTGTCATTCTTCCTCATGGGCAAAACAGACAGCACACATTCTCACACAATGCCCTGCACACTTTCTCATTCAACCAGGCCTCGAGTCAGAGAAAGTCTGCAGGTCTGGGGTTCCTGTCGAGGGTTAAGTTAAACATCTTACATGCCCGCGAGGAATTATGCAAGGAGAGGGGTCTGTGCTGAATGAAAATGAGGTTTTCTGTTTGATGTCACATTCAAACCCTCAAACGTGTAATATTATTCATTATTATTATCTTTGTGTTCCTCTGGTCTTCATCTTTAGTAATGATAACCATAGAGGTGATGTTAGTCCTCTAATAACCTTTTTTTCATGTTGTCATCTTATTACTGGATGACTTATAACCTTCTGCTATGTCTGCTGGCAAACCAGTATGAACAAAAACAGTGTCAGCCTCAGTTCAAGGCCATCCTTTTACTTGGAACTAATGGATTTATGTTTTTATCACTTAAGGCTGGTTGGTTTCCACAAGTTTCTGAGGACTGATTTGGAGACCACGCACGCAAACATCGCCACAATGAGTAAGTCTTTCAGATGTTAGACGGCCATTAAGGGCCTGTTTTCCTCAAATCACGAGATAAAGACAGACACTCACACTAAACAGCATCCCGGAGGCCAGAGGCCAGAGTCTGTACTGCTGCTCCAGACACTGCTGGGTGAAGGATTGCTTTTTGGCATTATGGAGATGGGGGTCTGGTTCTCTCTGCTGCCCTGGGGCTGTATGATGTCCGTCCAAGCTACACAAGGAGAATATTTTCCCTTCTTGAGCGAGTTCAGCCGTAGCAGAGCTTGTCCTGAGATCAAACATGGGAATAGGCATATCAAAAACACTGCAATCCTATTCTGTCTTCCATACCCTGACCCAGGAAGTCTCTGTTCAGTTGTAGATAAAGCCCCCCTCCCTAATTGTCTGCTCACACCTTTAAGTGCAGAATGAATTGCAAGAGGCTTCCTGTCATACTAGTACACGCAGGCCATCCGTGTCCCAATCCACACTCTTAATTGTGCATATTTCCCAAACACATTCATGTCTTTAGATGAGAGGCAGGCTCTCCACTCCATAATGAAGGACCTGGTCGCCCTCCAAATGACACGACGTCAGCCTCTGTCGTCATATGACAGCGGCAAACCCAAGACGCCAGCCCAGGCCAAGAGACAGGTGCAGTATCAAGTTGTGTAACCGTAACATTTCAAAAGACGATAGCTTATCAAACTCGTGAAACGTTTCCAGAAGCTAAGGAAAATGCAGGAGTGAAAAAAAAAAAAAAAATGTTTTTGAGGAGAAGGAGTAAAACAGTTGTTATCATCCAGGCTTCAATATGGAATCAGAAATCCTAATGACAATAAAACAGCCTTAGATGGTTAAAAAAAAACATGTTTAACTCAAAAAATAAACACAAGTTTCATGAATTTTTCCCAATATTAAAATCATAGAAGATTTCAGGGATTTCAGGAGTATAGCCCTTAAAATGTAATTCAGTATGTCAAGTGAGACCCTGAACCCCAAAGTTAACAGGTTTAATTCCAAAATGTGTCACTGAAACTGCCATTTTTCTTAAAGTCTTCCTCAGCAACAACAAGATGGTCTTGAATTTATTTATTTTATTTTTTTTACCTAAAATAGCTGAATGTACTAAACAGTAAGGAGGACGATGAAGCATGAACACAGAGGGTCAGTCTTTACGTTGTGCTCGCCATGAACAGCACTGAGTTTATCAGTCAGGAGGGAATTAAAAGCAGACAGAATTATGTTTTTTTTTTCCTCATGACTACACGTCTCTGGACCATAACATACACATTTTGGACCACTACCACACCAAAGAATCGTGTAATTGTGTGTCATCCATGCTTGCAGATATTCATGTTTCTTATAGTAGTCCCCCCCCCCCCCCCCCCCCCCAGCCCACACTGTTGGCTAATTTAGCATAACGAGTGCTGGATTCCCAAGATAGCTACCCACCACAATTCTACATCTGAAATGTATTAAATCGAGTTATTTTTCAACATTTTATCTAAATATATATATACACAGCTCGTGGTTAAAAGTAGCCCACAGCCCACCCACTCTTGCTTTCTAAGACTGCTGCAGACACAGAGGAAAGTAAAAGTATAAGTAACGTGCAATGCAGTGTTTGTTTAAAACCAGAGATTGTCCCCCTGAGAAGAGAGTCTCCTCTATTTTACCACCTGAGTAACTTAGTTTGGACTTATAAAGAGATTTGAATGATCCAGCGCTGTACACTCTAAAGTCTTTTATTTAGAGAAATTAACCTTGAGGACATTTATGATGGTTGTTTACTTTATTTAGAGTTTAAAACTTTGCTGAATTGAATCTAATACGCCTGTCTTATGGAACTTCGATGGCTTCCTTTGTCCACTCTTTGACCCTCCCACTTCTGTTTTCTCCCAGGACGATGTCAGGATAAAGTTTGAGTTCTCGGGAGAAAGAAGGTGAGGTTCTGTGTGTTTCTACATTCATTTTAGGGACATAGCCTACATGCACATATGAAGACATAAACACACTCACTCAAGCGCGCTGTTCTTGTCACATGTTCCTCTTCATGAGAAAGAGCGCGTCTCAGAGTCAAACACACTCCAGATCTTAACTCAGGACTGGTATGTGAGCTGGAGAAGGGAAGAGGGAAAGGACTGTGGTTAGTCAGTGGCTGCCAACACGAACCACAAATATGCAAGGTGCACTTAGAGGAATCTGCGCTCAAAAAGAGCAGCTTGTGTTGATTCTGCTTGCATGTGTGCATGTAACTCAGAAAGTCCATTTGATTTCTTTCCTTTTTTTGTTTTTTTAATGTGTAGGATTCTGATGTTCGGACGACCTGTGCAGTTTGAGGAAATCCAGCAGAAGGTCAAGGCTGTCTTTGGCCAGCAGCTAGACCTGAATTACATGAACAATGAGGTAAAGCTGGGACTCTTGAACTGTTTGCCTGCCTTATTATCTCATCAGAAAGTCAGTAATGGAGACGCTGTAGCTCGAGAATGGTTGGTGTTAAATGAAAAAATCAACAAAAGTAGGGATCAGCTAATTGTTTCAGCCCTAAAGCGTATCCAAATATGTCTGTATGCATGCATTGTGTATGTGCATGTGTTGTCTATATATCTAACATTACCTGTAAACAAAGCGGTGCCTCTTATCTCGTCGCTGAGTTTGTACAAGTGCTTGGAATGTATCACGTAGCCTTAATCTTTGCTGTGTTAAATGTTAATGAAGGCTGTTTGGGCAATGTGTGGTTAATCACTTTGTCTGACACTTGACCTGTGGTTTCGGATTAAGGAAATGAAAATAGCATGAAAATTATTGATCTAGTCCCTGAGTGTCCCGTTTGCTATTGTAGCTCTATTTCAGTTTGTTTCATAACCAGTTAAAGACACCTCACAGGAGCTTAAAAAGAAAAGGGGAATTATAGCAAACAATAACACACAATTGTCCTGTTTTTTTTTCTTCTATGTGCATATAAATGGTTGTGTCTATATTGTTTTTAGTTGCTCAGTTCATGTATTTCCTTTGTTTCTCTGTGTGTTTGTGTGTCTTGCATCCTGGTAGTTGTCCATCCCTCTGCGAGATCAGGATGACCTGGACAAGGCAATCGACCTGCTCGACCGAAGCTCCAACATGAAGAGCATAAGGATCCTGCTGCTAACACAGGAGCATAGCAATGTAAGAATCAGAAATAATCAGAAATACTTTATTAATCCCCGGGGGGGGGGGGGGGGGGGGGGCATTTGTTACAAGATACCCTTACAACACATTAACATGCACACACTGGACATTTATTTGTTGTTGCAATGTTGCACCACTGCCATTTCACCATAGGAACATGGTTTCCTCATCACATTTACATCACAGTCAGTGGCTTGTTGACATATAAAGACTGTCAGTTGTGTGTTGTGCTTTAAGCTCTTGTCCCCCCCCCCCCCTCTTCTTTCCAACTACAGGCCTCCTCCCCCTCCCATCATGTGCCGTGTAGTAAACAGGTGAGGATTAAGCCCTCCCAGTCCACTGGAGACGTCAGCACTGTGTACCAATCCTCCGAGCCCAGGGGACGCCACCTATCAACTGGTACATATCTGTCCGTTTTTCTCAAACTTTTATCAGCAGTAACACGTTCTGATTCAAAGGAGGAGATTTAGACATTTTGTTTATTTCTCAGTAGCTTCAGCGTTTTATAAATGTGCAGTCATAGGTAGCTGTCATGTCGTTGTGCTGCGCAACTTCTGTTTATGCTACCTGGATTTCTTTCTGTCTGTCGCCTTTCTTGCTCGCTCATTTTCTGGCTGTTCTGTCTTTGGCTTCCCCTTTTAGCAATGGGTCCTCTTCCTTTTCCTGTTCAACATCACTAGACCATGCCTGCTGGAAAGCAGCCAATCAGATTACAGAATGCTATTAGTGTGGTGGACCAGTGGCCTGGTTTAGGATTTTTTCCCCCTAAGGGGATGAAGTGGCTGCAGAGGGGCTTGAGTGGTTAAACATCACTAGGCTATTATGCTTAAAGCGACTGAGTGGTTGCTACTTTCAGTCAGAATTCAAGCAGTTAGTACTTCATTTATTGTTTGCTTATGACATGGGAAGGATAAAGTGTATGCTATTTTTTGTGTGTTTGAGTCACTTTGGCAGTGTAGTCATACCTGTGCTTAATAAAGTGTACATAGAAGACAACAGCACCTATTTATTAAAAATGCAAAGCACTGTTTCCTACAATATAATGAAATCAAATGTAATCCTCAAATGACACTGTGGAAAACGGACTCTTCCTCACGCCTGTAAAGTCAGGACAATGTAACTCCTAGTTGTCATACATGTAATGTTTCCATTATAGTCATAACTGCTGTGTGATCCCAGGTTCTCAGAACACGGGGCGTAGTTCGCCGCCGCCTGGCTATGTGCCTGAACGCCAGCAGAGGATTGCCCGCCAAGGTTCATACACCAGCATCAACAGCGAGGGGGAGTTCATCCCCGAGACCAGCGATCAGAGTGTGAGTTTTTGATCGTTCTGAAGAGAGACAGGAAGTGTTGGGAGGATAGAGGGGGGATAATATACAGCATGGGGCTGAGGTTGGATTCAAACCCACGACTGCTGGGATTAGGACCATGGGCCGCAACAAAGCCATTAAGCTATCCGGCGCCTAATTGATCCATTTTAAAGGAGAAAATCCACCATAGAAGTCAGCTTTTATATTGGGTGTTCTATGATATTAGACTAATGAGACCAACATATATCCTGAATCAAGACCTTCCCTCATTTAAGAAGTTTTTTTTCTCACTAACATACATTTAATTGCCACCAAGACATTAGGATTTGGGGTCACAGTTGAGGCAGGAGTGATAATTGTTGCTCAACAAATAGATTTAGAGGGTTACCCTTATTGCACTTCTAGAAATGAATATCTCTTTTTAAAAAGAGTTCATGCTGTCAAAATATTGAAGTATACATTCTGTTAAGGGGGGGGGGGGATTTCTCTTTCTGAAACTTGAATATGAAATTTGCATACACACCCTTCATTTTCCATGACTCCCTGTGAAGGTGCTGGATCCCTGGAGCAGTGCAGAAAACTCTGTATCTGGAAGCTGTCAGTCGCTGGACAGCAATTCAGACAGGTGAGCAGCAGATTGTCTGCTATGGACAACCAGCAAATTACGACTCATAGATATTTCATCATCCTCCGTATCGTTTACTGAACAAGAATCTGCAACATTGTGATTAATGTAAAGGGGTTAGGGTACCCACGCACGCCTCTCAACATCTTTCACCCCTCTTCCTCTCTCTTCCTCTCTGACAGCCCCTCGATGAGGAAGTCTCGCATGCACAGAGCCAAGAGTTACCCCGACAATCGTCAGGAGTGCTCAGGTGAGAGTAGCCACAAGATAAGCGCCTTTGAATCTTTAAAACTCCAGTTAGAAAACGCCCTGTGGACAAACGGATACCTCTTATTTCATTGCTGATCTTGTCCCATAAGTGTTATATGCGGAAATATGTCTTTACACAGTCAAACACATCAGTCATTGTGATTATTTGCTGTGTAAAATGTAAGAAGAGGCTGGATTGGCAGTGGCCTACCCCATGGCAGTGGTTACAGGCACCATAGAGATGCCTCCCTGTTCATTTCAGTCGGTTTTTGAAGCTAAGGAGATGAATAAATAAGGCTGTGTTTGACATTAAACTAATCCTGCTGACCTCTGACTTGGGGATATTTGCTTCCAGACAGGGAGAATCATGTGTATGACCGGGTAGCAGGGAAAGGAGGCACCTATCCTCGTAGGTACCATGTTTCCCTGCATCACAAGGACCTCAGCGAAGGTACGACAATGCGTATCTCGTCGCCATTTACAAATCCTGTCTCTGTTTTCTTATACGAAGTAGACTTTCTTTGTACTGTTGTTCTGCCTTAACCTCTGACCTCTTCGTCATGTCATATTAACTTAAATCTTTCTTTCAGGCCGTCGAACGTTTCCCCGGATACGTCGCCCTCAGGGGAACCTGTTCACCCTGGTGCCCTCGCGGCGGACGCTCAATGGTAGCGAAGAGAGTCTCGGCAGCTGGCAGCTTGTAGACGCTCAGGGCAGGCTCCGCCCCCAGGATCGCTCTGTCGCGCACAAGTGTAAGTGTTGACCTTGGAGAAGTCTTAACAAAATCTCCTGGACCTAAATTTACTTCAGTTGGTATGTAATTAGTCAAAACTTAGTTAGGACCATCCTACCACCAGGCCTGGAGGCTCGTAGAAACTGGTTGTTTGTGAGAGAAATGGTTGAAGTGGAAAAATCCAAAATAACGCTCTCTCTTTTCTGTGATATGTAAGATGGAATAAAAAACAGAAATGTGTGTTTTTTTTTTTGTTTCTCAGCGCCCAGTGCCCCGCTGACGTGGCGGCGGGGGAAGCTCCTCGGCCAGGGGGCGTTTGGTCGGGTGTATCTGTGTTACGATGTGGATACTGGGAGGGAGCTGGCTGCCAAGCAAGTCCAGTTTGATCCTGAGAGCCCTGACACCAGCAAGGTCAGCTCTTAACATGTAAACACACACCCTCATGTCTTCAACGATAAAGACAGCTTGCATTGTGCCTCCCCCTTTCCTTCTTCTTCCACTCTTTCATTTACGCGAATGCCACCTCTTTCTACTCATTTGTTCTGAAAAAGATTAAAGAGATGCTTTTTTTTTTTAAACATTCAGCTTCTTATGTCAAGATGTGGCATCCTTTCCTTCTCCCTGTTTCACATTTTAACAAATAAATTGAACAGTACAGTGTTTTGTAAAATATTAAACCTTCATTTGTTGATTTTTAACACATCAGGAGTCTGCACTTCCGTCCAGCTCTTAGAAAACCAGCAATGACCTTATATTAGTACAAGTTAAACTGTAAAGGCCATTATGCTGGAATGCAGGTAGTCTCCCTGAGGATTAACTGTTAAATGTCTTTATAAAATATCTCTCACGTGTTGGAATTCATGGGGTCAGGAGTTAACCCCCGGAAGATTTCTTACATAACGCTGGCACATAAAGACTATACGACATTTGAAGACGATAAAAGTTCAAGAGATGCACCGATTGTGAAAATCAGGGCAGACGCTGATAGAAATTATTCAGCAGAGCATGTCATTACGTCTTTGTAATTCTCAGTGTCTATGACATTTGATGTATTTAAATTGAGCTGAACATGTCGTACAAACTGCACACCGCTGATCTTTCACAGAGACTGGATAAGACTCCCACGCCGAGTTTGTTGATGACCTCTTCTGCCCAATAAAAAAACACCCACACAGACCTCTGTTACTACCTACTACTAGATGACTTCATCCCCCCGTTATGCCTCTGTGATATTCATATTAAAGATTAGACGTCACAGGGGTGTTAGTATCGGGTCTTGAACAGTCTGAATCGGGCTTGTCTCTGTGTCTTGCCTCTTTCTCTGAAGTAAACACAGGAACCTCTTTTAGGGAACATGTCTGTTGGTTATTGTTTACGCTGCCTTAGGATTCGCCTTTGGCAGACTCCACACGCTGTCTTAAATCACTGCCTGTCCTCCCTTTGTTTATCATTCAATTGTTGTCGTCACTGGTAGCAGAAAAGACCGAGCTCGGTTGTGTCCAAGGAATGCATTTTGTTTACAGATGAAAACAGTAAATCACCAGCGAGGCATTGTTCCTCTGTAACAACTTTTATACTTAACATGTGAATTTTCAGTGTCTTATTTCCTGACCTTTTTATTGTCTTCATACAGGAGGTCAGCGCTTTAGAGTGCGAAATCCAGCTGCTGAAAAATCTGCACCATGAGCGCATTGTTCAGTACTACGGCTGTCTGAGGGACCGCAATGAGAAGACCCTCACTATTTTCATGGAGTATATGCCGGGGGTGAGTCTGAGTGTGTTCAATGACACACTTTAAATAAGGCTTGAAGGTGATGAAGTTGATTCTTCTTCATCATTTTGTTTATTCAGTTGCATTCAAAGTCATGATGCAAGGCAGTTATTTAAAGTCAGGACATTAGGTCAGTCAGAGATTAAATAAAGACACGAGGAAAGAAAACAAATGACAACAGTCAGTTCCCATGACTAGAAGTGTTTGATCAAGTTTCTTCATTTCCATCTGAATCGTCCAAAGGTTTATAAAAAGAAATACTTATGGCTCTCCAAACTGCGGGAACTTTTCCAGGAAGCTTTTTAGGAAACTCTGAGATCTATTTTGACCTCAGTTTGAATTCTTGGGTAGTATTTGTGTAGCCAATTTTCTGAAAAATCCAAAAAAAAAAAAAAAAATGGAAGAGACAGTGGCAGACAAAATAATGTTTGAAGAAGTAAAAACCCTCGTCGCTTTGTTTTGCGGAGTCAGCCAGATTCCAACGTATTTTTCCCAGCTCCAGAAATAACCAATCATCGAGCAGATCAACGCTGCTTTTGTATTTCTGACATTTGTATCACGCTGTCTACCTCTTCATGACTTTCCACCAAGTTGTTGCTTTTGCATGTACTGTTGTCTTTTGAATGCAACGCTTTTTCCTTTCTTCGTACCAGGGTTCAGTCAAAGACCAGCTTAAAGCCTACGGGGCGCTGACAGAAAATGTGACCCGCAAGTACACAAGACAGATCCTGGAGGGCATGTCCTACCTGCACAGCAACATGATCGTACACAGGGACATCAAAGGTAGTCCTTTAAAGCTCCAATGCCTCGCTTATGATCCTAATAAAACACTGGGTAAATGTCCCCACGGTGTTTTGATGTGTGGCAGCTGATTCTAGACATCAAATATTTACATGTTCCTCTTCAACTCTGCTATGAAGGTGCCAACATCCTCAGGGATTCAGCGGGCAACGTGAAGCTCGGAGATTTTGGTGCCAGCAAGAGGCTACAGACCATCTGCATGTCTGGGACCGGCATCCGCTCAGTGACCGGCACCCCCTACTGGATGAGCCCGGAGGTGATCAGTGGAGAAGGCTATGGCAGGAAGGCAGACGTGTGGTAAGAGCTGGAGATACATTTTTACCCCATAAGTTCAATCCCTTATTATCTACTTTGATTTTATTATTTTAATTTTAAATACTATTACTTCACTTTTTTAATGTGATCTTATATTTAAATCATTTTTATTTAACTTTTAACTTTATTTTACATTTATGAATCGTGTGATGCGACAACCTATAGGGTTCAAGTCCCTCTAGAAGATATAAAGAGTTAAAGTCTCAAAGCTCTTTCAAAAGCATTTTATTGTGTTTGAGGCGCTACAGAGCAGCTTGTTTGAACAATTTAAACACAATTCAAAGTTGATCGAATATTTTGTATTTAATCTCTTTATTGTTGCTCAGTGAATTCTTAATTCTCTGTTTTTTCTTTACTGTGTACAGCACAGCGGCTGCTTTGCTTAGAATCAAGTTTAAAGTTTGACTCTAGATTATCAATAAAGTTCTTTTGGGACGGATGTCATATTTCAGCTTATTTGAAATTCGCTAAGAAGGCAAAGTCGTCTTAGAGTTTCCAGAATTTTAATCAAATATGAAGTGATTTTTAAACAAAATTAGTATGAATTAGAGCTTTCGCCTGCTGGAAAAGGTGACTGGATCTTATCTTATTAATAATAATAATAATGTAGAAAATGATTATTCTTAAGGGGATGAAGAAGTATACTAAAGTGTCTACTCTCTTCAGTTACTGACATGTATACACACACTGACACATACATTACAGCATTTTCCTTCAGAACAACAAGCACCAAGTTCATGGAAGAAAAACTCCTGCACCTCTTCACAGAGCATCTCCAAGAAAAATAGTTTAGTTTAATACAGGGACCAACAATTATGTAGTGACTTTGTTCCACAAGTTTTATCGTGTTTAGAGTTAGAAACCAGGCTAGGGGCTTACAGGATGAGACAAGGACAACTTTTTAATCAAGGAATTTGCTGTATGTAACCCAGTTCCTACAATACCCCTTGACAGAGAAGAGTTAATATTACCTTATGCAACCTGAATGAGTGCTGACCTACCAGGAGAGTGATGTGATTGGCTGTAGTCCAGTCAGACAGGTCATGACACAGGTTGGTATGTTCCAGCTTCTCAGCCCAGGCTGGAGGGGAGTTATGCTCCCAGGAGGGTTTGTACCTCCCAGACAGGTGGAGGAGGCCCTCTGCTAGTGTAAGAGTTTACACTCAAAACATTCCTTCAAAGCTTTGGAGTGAGATGAGGTGAGGTATTTGTTTCAGCTTGTTATGTGACTCCACTTCAGACTTACGGAGAAAATGCTTTTCTTGTACAGGAGCCTTGGTTGCACAGTGGTGGAGATGCTGACAGAAAAGCCTCCATGGGCTGAATTCGAGGCCATGGCCGCCATCTTCAAGATCGCCACGCAGCCTACAAACCCTCTGTTGCCCTCACACACGTCGGACCAGGCCCAGAACTTCATCAGCTGCATTTTTGTGGAGGCCAAACACAGGCCCAGTGCTGAGGAGCTGCTCAGACATCCCTTTTCCCAGATTCTGTGCTGATAACCACAGACTCGCACAGTAGCCTCAGCAGCATCTGTAGCTTCATTGTGGACATGGAACTGGTCTAAAAGTCAGTGTTAAACCCACCCAAACCTCTGCAACCGTTCTAATGCTTCAAGGAGACATCGCCTCCTTTTTGCCGACAAAACAAACTTCAGGCATTTTGACAACCGCAGGCAACAGTGCCTGAAAACCAATGCCAGTAAATGCTCTCACCAGCAGGGGAAAACAAAACAGAGACGAAGCATCTGCTGGGCTGCTGATCTGTCTCAAACATACAAGAACACACAGTCCTAATTATGCCCTCCAAGGGCAGCACCCATTCACACACCAGTTGTGTCTTCCTAAAGTATCCCCTTCTTAGTTTACGTTCACCTGTCGGGGAGTTATGCCAGGAATCCCTTTAAGTGTTTGACATTTAAACATTAAGCTTTGCACCAAGTTTGCCCAGCGGATGAGGAACACTGCTGGTGCACAACAGTGTTAACTGGACGCTATGTGTGATGTAGGCTGCATTCCCAAATATGTGTTAGTGTAGAGTGATGTCACACATGCAGAGCAGCTACTCTGAAGTTTAATGGTGGAACAGAGTTCATCTGTTAAAAACATTAATATTACACAGAGAATGACAGGTTTTGTTTTTTAGCCCTTTGGCATTAAGACATCATTTTATGGTATAAATGTAATACAAACGCCTTCACTGAGATCATAACTGATAGTCTATGATATGCTGCAACTTCTAACTCCAGTTTCTCTCTTCGTTTATTACAATTTCATTAAAGTCAAAGCAAATAAAAAAATAATGATCCAAGGATCTTGGAAATCTCAGGACATTTAACAGCAAGTACAGCTGGACTAAAGTGATTTATCAGCAGCTGTAGAGAAACCTCCTGGTTTATTGAATGGCAGAAAACATCTGATCCGTCTGTTGCTGTTTGTTATTGCACCATTTAAAGTTGGGCTCCCCAACTAAACTCCACCACAACATGAGCCTGCCATTTAGCTGCCTTAGAGGAGTCGAGGGTGGATCTTTCCTTCATATTCTCTCGTTCCTATTCTTGCTTTATCCTTCACCTCACTGTGACATTTCCCTCTTCCGGGCTCCTGTTGTAGCTCTGCAGTGCTGCAGGTGTTCTCAGCTGACAAAGTGACTAAGAGGAGGAGAAAAAAACAGTATGAAAGTGAAGCAAATGATACTTTTTATGGTTTAAAAATCCAAACTTAAGGCCTTTATTAAGGAGGGGTCTTATCTTCAAGTGTGTCTGGACCCAACATCCCTGACTGAGAAGCCTTAGCTTAAGGATGGATTTTAGATCAGATGCACTTTTAGGTGAAATGAATGTTTTGGAGTTTTTGTTCTCTTTACCAAATTTTTGTTTTTTTACTTCAAATGTGAACATTGTTTAATTTTTAATTTATATCCCCTCATCCGATCCAGTTGGATTTCATAAGCAGATGTATACTATGTATGGATTTATTTTTTATATTTAGACCGTATCAGAATTGAATGATACTTCAGTCTTTGTTTTGTAGTTCAAAGTAAATGGTTTTAAGCAGCTGGTTTTGCAGACATTAGAGTATATGATTTGTAAATGGAACATGGGTGGGAAAGGGACTCTGGCTGCACGTTGTTTTTTTCTTCCAGCTTTAAAACAATCTCCACACATTGTTAACAATATATGGATGAAAGCATTAGCTGACAGCTTACAGAGACTCTGCATCATTTGGCACATCAGGGAAGTCTTAGAAATAAAAATAAAAAAACATCAACCTAAAGGCTCATTTCACAGAAGAATCTGTTGGGAATATGTTAACGTGTGATCATAGGGTTACTTGTAGTGAAATTAAAGGTTGTGTTTGTGAGCCAAAGACGAGCAGGATAGTAGCCCGTGTCCAATGTCAGAGTTTGCTTTTCAACCCAGGTGACGACTTTGTTTATCCCAGGGTTCAGAAACGAGTTCAGTAATTAACAGTTTTGTGGGGAAAAGGGCTTACTGCTGCCTTAACGCTTATACAAGATCTCTCAATGTGGCTGCTACAGGCTAAAGGCAGCTCAATAATGTTGCAATAGTTAACTTTAAAGGGAAGAAAGACAAAGAACCCTGTGGTAAGCAAATGAATATAAGTTAGTTTTGTAGAGATCTATATGTAAATGTATGAGTATGTATCATGACAGGACTTGCAGTGCAAAGTCTGATGTATTGACTGTATTATACAGCAACAAAAGAAAAGAATAGTATGTTTAAAGACAGTGTCTTTTATATATATGTATGTGTGTGAGTACATCACGCCCCTTTATCATGTATGTCATGCTATTTGTTCAGAACAAATAAAGTGTTTTTAAGATATTTCTTTCTAAATGGAGTGTTATTGAGACTAATGAGTCACAGGAGACAGAGCTTATTGTTGGCAGAACTTGATGAACTCGTTTTCACAGATTCACTGCTCAAAGAAAACACAAGAGATCAGTTTCATCTGTTTTAATAAAAAACATTTATTATCATCGTATTCCACAAATAACAATAGTCCAGCTGGCAATAAACTTAAAAATCCTCATTTAACAAACAGTCAATGCTCTAAATGTTTGTTCTCCGTCAGCACAGAAACGACTCAACTGACATGAAATTAGAGAAAGTGTTAAAGCTGCAGCTCGTAACTGAAGAAAGTGGAAACAGAAATATATATTAACTCTATATATTTCATATTAAAAGGCTCAATTCATAAAAATCAAAAAAACTGATTTTGAATCTTGCTCGTGTGCTTCTTTGAGTCATTCCATCATTTTAAAATAATCAATAAACGGACACCAGCCATCACAAAGTCATGATGTATTGTGATTCAGTTGTAGTGACCCTTTACTTTAACACAAGAGGAAACATTTCATTTTTCATGGAATCAACTCTGATGTGTGTCAGACATCGTGTTGTGTTTGAGTCTCATGTTGTGTTGGACGATTCTTGGGTTCGATTTCCTGTGAGCAGAATAAAACCTCTAAATATCAGAAATAAATGTAGAGGTTTAGTTTCTTGTCTGTGTAAGAGGGGATGTTCTCGGTTGTATAACGTCAAACAGGAGTAATATATTATTACATAAATATTTATTAATGTTGCTCTGTGCAGCTTCAATTCAATTTAAATAATTTTAAGTAAAATGGTCCAAACAAAATCTATTAATGGACATTTTTTTATGAAATTATATATAAAAGAACACAATTGCAAACATGCAACCTGCTGACAATGAGCATTGTTTGTGTGTGTGTGTGTGTGTGTGATGACTGCAGCTGTAGCAGTGATACAAAAGTACAAAAACTGTAGAAAAAAAACATCAGCTTATATAAAGATATATTCTTAACAAAAAAATCCATAAAGATCATTTAAACTCTATAATATCATTTTTTTAATGTAATCATAAAATGTGTGTTTGACTGGAGGAGTCTTTTAAGAAGAGGAATATATACACAAACACAAAGAAACAAAGTCCTGCGTGGCCCCTGGTTCAACACAAACACACACACAGACACAGAGACATACACAGACAGACCTACACACACACACACACACACACACACACACACACACATACACACACACATACACACACACATACACACACACACACACACACACACACATTAACCAGTGTAAGAAACAGCTGAGGTGAAGTCAGGCTGAACTAGTTGCACCCTGAGGAGATGTGTTGATAATTCTGGAAAAAAAGAAAAGAAGAAATCACGTTACAGGTGAGGCAATCTCAGAACCCAGCAGCTATCGTCGACAGTATATGCCATCAGCAACAGCAGGGCAACTTCTTGGTAGTCCAGGGGCCCGTTTCTGAAAGAAGGTTCAACAAACCGTCAGTCTAACTCTGAGCTCTGAGTTGATTTACTCTCAGGTTGGAAACTATGAGTTTTAGGTTCCAGATCAGCAGATTTCAATTTGTTAAATCAACTCTGAGTAGGTCCACCCGGTGTTCAACGCGTGCACCGCGACGATAAAAAGCCAACATGAATGGAACCCCGATTCTACAATTCACCATGGCAACAGGTGACATAAAAGAGATGCTCGTACTTTAACCATCTCGAAATATATCAATACCTTCATGTGGCCATAAGCTACGGCGAATATGAACAGGTTTTAAGAAGGAAACAAAAGTAACACTGCTGCAGCGCAGAGGCAAAGGAGAGAGAAGTGGTGGAAGAGAAAACAGCTGCTCGCGTCAGCGCGTAAAGTCTATTAATTTAATATTTAATCAGAATTAGGCTATAATAGACTACTGCAGGTCAAAACTGGTGGAATGGTAGATTATTAAGCCTATACAATTTATTTTCATTAAAATGCAATCAAGCAGAAGAAAAGCGACTTTAAAACAGCTCAAAATGAAATATAATAACATAAAAGGCTCATATAGATTTATAGTTAACTTCATTCAGAGTCTATTTGAATGTGCATTAACTTTATCCCCAACATAATGCTGTATTCACACACATGGACTAAATGTCCTCTCACCTTTATCCTGTTTAGTTTAGGCTATTAATTAACCCTAATTAAATTAACATAGACGTAAATGTAGGCTCTAATTCCCTGCGGAGTCGCCTAATGCAGCCCCTTCACACCGACTAAAAGACGCCATGTCCAATAAAATAGTTCCTCTTATACGTTGTAGTATTGCCTACCAAACATATCATATTAAAACAACCTGGATTTTTATTCAGACAAACGGTGACTTTTCACCAACGCGCGTGATACGGACTGAATGAAAGAATGAGGAAATGAAACAGCGTTTCTGGCTCTGAAAGAGGGCGGAGTCCGAGAGAAACCCGGGGTTCACTGAAGAAAACCTGCTCTCGACCAGGTGAGTTTCACAGACTCAGTTACCATAGTAACTGACTCAGAGGCACGGGGCTGGAGTTACCCCTCTTTCTCGGGTTTGAGTGACCTCCTCTTCTGAAACGGAATACCCAGAGTTTCCCTCGTTTCAGGGTTAACTGACTCAGAGTTTGCACTAAACCTTCTTTCAGAAACGTTGTCAGTGGTTACTGAATATAAGCAAAGACTTCCCTTTTCCAGATGGCTGTGTTTTTAGATCAAAAGCAAAGTGTAATTCGCCCCTCTGGACATGTCTGCAAATTAAACATTGTCATTTGTTGACTCACTACATCCCCCAGAGGAGCACCTTTTCCTCTGTTGCAGGTAAACACCATAAAACAGAGGCTCCGCTCTGGCTTGTGTCCCAATAAAGAAACCAATTTCCTTATGATTCATTAAAAAAAAAAATCAATTATGAAGATTTGTAAGAAAGTTTGTTTTTGTCAAGTCTGTCCTCAAGAAAAGAAGAAAACATCTTTTAAAAAGCTTGTTTGCTGAATGTGGGTCGGAGCGATTATTCTGATGCATTCAAGAATTCTGGGAAATCCTAACATTAGTGATTGGCTTTTGATCTAGAACATAATTTAAGCTGCACTTGCACACATACAGTATATCTATGTTGTCAGCTTACTGCTGATGGGAGCTGGATTGTCATTACGGAAGATTGTGTTACTTCACACAGACTTTTTTCCTGCATACACCAGAGTCTGCTTATACATAACTGGGCATTACTACGACTAAAAAAAGAACTAAAAACAGAAACAAAAACACCTCTCATTAAAATCCAGACCCCCCCCCCCCCCCCCAAGTACAAACACAGGATACTTTATAATATCTGAGATGTCGGATTGAAGTTATATTTTGCTGAAGCATTCTCACATAATCAAAATACATGTGAACTATGATGTACCTGCAGTGTCCAGTCTGTGTCACCTCCTGCGTCGTCTGGTTACTAGACTGAACAATCGGTTCTGTTCAAAACAAAGACAAAAAAAAAACAACATTCAATTATTTTAATCACACACACACAGATGCTGTACATTGTAGAGCAGGGTGCGATGTAGTTGGAATCAGGAAACTTTCAGGATCAAAGGTTGCACTGCGGCGTTCAAATGATATGAAGTAAAAGTTTGTCTGACATGATTTAGAGTACATTTCATTTTTTCAATCATAATCTAAAAGTTATCTGTTTTGATAGGTGTCTGTATATCTGATTAATATCTATTTAAAAAAAATCTACATTATGCACCTACTTTAAGAATTCACCATTTAATACATCAAAACATGTCCCTTTAATATTTCTTAACCACACAAAATAACACTAAAAAGGTCAAATGGCGAATCTTGCAGTGGCTAACATCTGTTAACTCACGTCACACAAGGACTACACCTGTGTACACCAACATCACACACAGAACTACATCTCTATGTTAACATCACATGCCGTGCTAGCACACAGGATGATATAACAATAAGTCGGACAGCAGCACCCCCCAGAGGCTACTCAACTCCACACACTCCATGTATTTACCTTGTGCTCCGGACAGAGAACTGAGAAGTTTTCTTCATTTAAAACACAACCTGAAAACACACACAGACACACACAATCAAAGACTTTCAAAGCAGTTTGAATCAGTCTAACAGGGACAGAGTTTGTTTAAAACATGCAGGGAGAAAAAAAAAATCCTTAAATATTCAGCTTTATCGACAGAGAAACACACACAGTATCGATGTTTATACTTCTGTTTATACTCGGATTGATTTTTAACCTTCACCTGACTGGATGGCACATCTGTAGTGATAGTTTGATTGACAACCCTTCTGGAAACATCCGATAATTGCACCTGTCAGTCTGCATGCTGAACACACCTGAACACAGACAGAAAGAATTGACCAATTGCTTGAAGCTTTTCAAACATGTACTATTTCTTTACATTTAAAAGATGCTTCATGAATGGTAAAACCTGCAGAGTCTCAAGTGGTGGAAGTAAAACGTAGCTGTAGCACTTATACATGTGATTTGAATTTACAGACAGACGACGCGTCATCATCATTACTCAACTCTGAAATAAGCTCCTACAGCAGATCAATCAGGGCCATTTGGTAATTTTACACCACATTTTACATTTGGAACCTTTTATACTTTGCACCAGTGTTTCTTCTTCTTGTGTGTTCTTGTTGTCATTATCATTATAATTCAAAATTCCCTGTGGGCTTGTAAAACTAATCGATCTTGTTTATGTAATGTACACTGTGTGTATGTGTATATACTGTATATACATCTCTGTATGTTTTTAAAGATTTTGTTTAAGATATTGAAATTGATGACACTGCCTCCATATGACCGTGAAAATAAAATCACACACACAGTAACGTGCCACATTTCATGTGACTCACAGTTCTCTGAGCGTGGCGGGCCGCTTCCTGCAGTCCGTACAGCCTCCCCTGGACAAGGAATATTCCCGCAGACCAGATCCCACAGTCCTCATGGATCCAGCACTCGTCCATTTGAGGAGAAACATGAGAGTTTAGAGTTTTAGCAGCGGAGCAGGGCAGACCATCAGAGGAGGACTTTTCTGAACTTCCGTTTATGAGCCCACGTGAGCCGTCTTTTTGCTCACTTCCCCTGGCCCTGTTCTGATCCGTATCCTGATGCTGACAGTCCACAGGCAGGCTGGAGGGGATGTAAGGGCCGTGGAGGTCTCCAAGGCTCATGGTGTTGGCAGTGTGACCACATAGGCAGCACTTCAGCATGGTCTGACCCGGGCTCTCTAATCCCGACCGACCCGGCTGGAAACAGGACGACTTTGGGATGAACCCGATCAGAGACCTGGTCCCGTTCTGCTGTGGTCCTTCTTCTTTGCTCCTTATTTTCTCCTCCTCCCTCTGGCAGTTTATGACAGTGCAACTCATATGCTCCATGTGAACAAAGGGACAGAATTGCCCAGACTTCTTCTCCTTCTTCTTCTCCTTATTGATGTTCACATGTCTCAGTCTGATCTCAGGCTCTGTGGGAGGAAACTGAGCAGACCCACCCGTCTTTGAGCAACGTTTTTTCTTCCGTCTCGCGGAGGTTTCTTTTTGACTGCAGACTTGTCGTTTTGGGACTCCGGTTTGACTATGCTCTTCTGGTTCTTCTCGGTTCTCGTGATCTTTTCAGTTTTATGAGCATTGTGGTTTTGTGTCTTCTGTTTGCGACCAACGCTTTTGGACACTCTATGGTGAGGTGGCGTCTCTCTCTGCACTGACTTCCTGTCTGTCTGCGTGTCCATATCAGACTCATCTGAGTTGCTGCTAAGTCTCTGCAACTTGTTGGGCTCTGAGAGCAACTCGTCTGCGTCTGAGCTGGACATTCTGGCCACGTAGTCCATCAGGTCGTCCGAGTCTCCGCTTTCATTGTAGATTCCGACTGCGTCATTCTTGGCTCGTCTCCTCAGGACGCTCCTTGAAGCGCTGCAGGGAGATGCAGATAGCTCAGTGCTGGACCTTGTGACCCTGGAACTGCGTCTTACTTCTCTTTTTTGAGCTTTTTTGGTCTTTGTCTTCTTACAGAGAGAAGTCTTCTTTTTTCCACCAGAGACTGAAACTTCCATCATGTCGCTGTCTTCGCTGGAGACGCCATCCACGGACTCTGGGGGGTTTCTAAAAGCAGCGCTGAGATCCGACAGGAGGACGACAGGCCGTGTGTGATGGACTGGGATGTCCACTGAGCTCTCCGAAGACTCGTCAGAGTAGGAGCTGTCAGGACTTGGGGAGCTCAGAGGCTGGGGACGGTGGTAACAGCCCCGTCCCACATCGGGGGAGGACACGGTGGGGGACAGCGGCTCCACAATGTGTCCCACCCCGTCCTGGACAAAGGGATTGCACAAGAGCGGCTCTTTGGACGAGGATACAAGGAAGATCACGTCCGAGCCACTGTCACTCTCCTCCCCCCCGCTGCTCTCAGGACCCGGACCCCCCGTCTGGTCTGGTCCATAGAAACCTGGATGCCACAGGCTACCGTGGACTCCAACTCGACCTGTACCTTCAACCCGGTAAAGATCGAGTCTGGGAGTGAGTGTCGCATTCATGTAGTTGCCCAGAGAATCTGGGCTCTGGTCCATGTCCCTGCAGAGTACAGGTGGACCTGGGTCCAAAGAGTTATAGGAGGACGAGGGTCTGGATCTGTAGGAGGAGCTGATCTCTGAGCCAGGAGGTCGGCGGTGGTACCACTCAGGCTTCTTGGCTTCAGCGTGTCGGGGGATCAGGGGAGGGGCAGAGAAACCCTTTGACAGGTCCATGACTAGAAGAGACGAATCCTGAGAGGACACATCCATCACTACAGGACACACAACGAGTTTACATCACTGGTCGGTGTTTTAACAACAATGAAGAGAAGATTAAAGCAACATTTTACACATCTCCGCTCACAGGAGGACTACAGTACTCAGTGCAACAGCTTATGGGATTTATAAACACAAAATCTAACTTTATGAATTGTTAAACATAACTAAAAACTATCCACAATGTAGAAATTGCAATAATGATTTCTTAAAATATCAGGTTCTTTCCAGAGGTTTGAACCCTGAAGTTTGAGCCATAATCCTTTCTGATAATGATCAAACTACATCAACTTTTTTTTAATCGCCAGCTCGACTAAGTTCACCTCTTACAGCAACTCCAGAGTCTAGGGGAAGGAAGGAGTGACGACGAAATTGATATGGGGGGAATGGAATCGATAATATAAGTAGGCTATGTACACCGCAATTAAGATACCATAATACATTAAGGGATGTGTGAAAATATAATTTAAAACATGTGTTAGGATAAAGATACACACGCACTCATGTTCACTTCATTTGGCTGTCTACTCGCCGTTACATTGTAAAGTTTCTGCTGATAATATGTCTACACTCATGCACTTTAACTTATGTCAATACTGTCCATTTACGACTCTGTTTTTGCACATTTACATTTAATCTTCCACATTTAATTTACAACCATTTACGACTCTGTTTTTGCACATTTACATTTAATCTTACATATTTAATTTAAAGCCATTTAAGACTCTGTTTTTGCACATTTACATTTAATCTTCCTATTTAAGACTAATAATGCTTAGTTAAACATTGGTTGTTTATATTCCCATTCTTAGTTTTGATATTTTTACTACTTATTTACTTTGTATTTAATATTATATTGTGTTTAGATTTGCTAACATTGTGTTTTTTTTACTCATATTGTGTGTTTGGATAACCTGCTGCTGTAACGCCACAATTTCCCAGTTTGAGATCAATAAAGTAATTCTATTTTATTCTAATTTATGTGTTAAATATGTATTCACCATGATGTAATAAATAAGATATGTTTAAATAAAATCAGTTATAAATATAAAATAAATCCAAAAATAATTTGTTTGGATGTGAATTATGTTTTAATGTAAATAAATACAGATGTGATCTTATTGTTAAAACGCACTGATATCAGGATATATAGCAGAGCTTTCAATAAAAAGGTGAACAGGTAGGCCCGTGTAAAGGTGATCTAACCTGCACACAGAAGCTAACTCACAGAAACCGGTTTAACTCGAGCTTTAGCTTTAGCTGTCCGATGGTCTCACCCTGAGCTGCGGTGGGTCAGGTGGTTCTCACAGAGCGGCTTGGACGATGACTCTGCCCCCTCGCACAGATCTGTAGCTGGGTTAGCTATCACACCTCTTCAGGCCCATCACAACCATCATCATCATCATCATCATCACCATCATCGTCATCGTCGCTGCATGTAAACAACAGCTCATGCTAGCTGACTGGCTAACGTTAGCCCGCTAAGCTCGATCGAAACGGAGACAGCAAAGTGGAAACGGCGAGAGAGAGAGAGAGAGAGGAAAAATAAAACATCACAGCAGAATAACTGTGAGCAAAGAAATGAAAGTCCTTACTCCCCACTGCTTCTTTATGACAGTTATAATAATGGACACCTTCTTCTTCACCGTCAAGTTGCGCTTAAACAACACGCGATTAAACGACCGGCCTTCAAAATAAGAGCTCCAATCTTAACTTCTCTCCACGTATCTTGCTCAAGAATAACATATATATGGGTTGAATACGGGATTTAACTTAATGTACTTATGTACCAAACACATAAATTATACTAACACTGTCATATTACCTCATGTCGATGTAACTTAATCTGCAAATTTGTCACACTCAGGTATCAAACCCCCAACAAGGTGTCAAATAACTAATATTTATAAATTGATTTTTTTTTTTGGAAATATTTTCTTTACTGTCACTTTTACCTTACAAGCCGTTTTAGTGTAAAACAAAAGAACAATGGGGGAAAAAAAAAAAAAAAAGTTTACTAGCAATTTTATTTTGAAGTATAAACTCGGAACTTGACTTCTTCAGGCTAACTTAACTTTAGGTTGAAAATACTGAATGTCAACTGCATCCTGTAACATATTCAGAGTAAACTGAGGTTTAATCTACATTTCTATAATTAGGCTTTACAGGAAAAACAATTAAAACGAGTCAAATTGTAATCAGACAACACAAAATAGACCATACAGGAACATCCTCCAGTTTTATTTAAAAGAGAAACAAACAAACACACACACACACAACACACACACACACACACACACACACACACACACACACACACACACACACACACACACACGCACACACTTACATATAAAAGATTAAACTAATAAAAACTAGATATTGGACCAGTTTAAAGACGTATAAAGCAGGGATAAAACAATGAAAACAGACATGATAAAAAAACCTATAACTGTAAGAGTCAAATGAAAGAATAACAATAACTAAGTGGGTTTACATATAAAACATTTTTATTATAAATCTTTATAAATAGAATTAAATTAATTGCATATTCACAGCAGTTTTCTGGTAATTTTAGATGTCAAAAAGGTTCACAATACAGAAAGGCAGAAAATTAAGGAAGATCTAAAGGGACATGCATCAAAACTGTTACTTAACCCTATACTGAACTTTTAAATTTTTTTTTCTGAATATCTTGACATTTTTGTCTCGTATTTTCATGATAACGCTTGTCTTTATCAAGGGAAAACCAGTTTTGTTATCCCGAGCTAATGAGAAAAATGAATCGAAATCTCAAGAAAACGTGAAAATTACTAATTATCCCAGGAAAACCGAGTTAAATAAAATGAATTGATGTATGTCTGTCTAAGGCTTCCGTAGGAAATAACAGACAGACATTATTGACATCTTTATTTTCTTTAAAAATGCTGAGGTGAAAAAAGGAGTGTGAAGTTGTTTTATGACATTTCATGGATTCATGGATGAAAAAATACATGACATTGTAACACATTTAAATAAAGTTATTAAATAGATTGTGGGCCAAGATAAAAAAGGTTCTCTAGTTATCTCTAGTGATGTATTGTTTTCAGGATGTAGTCTGGTCCAGAGCACGGTGTGCAAGCCTCAGGTTTTCCCGCAGTTCATTCGTCTCTCGATCCGTTTTGGCCCTCAGGACGCTAAGCTGGGTGAACATTTCTTTGTATTTCTTGGTGGCGTTCCTCTTGTCCTGTGACATGATGGACACAAACAGCATGGTTCAGTTTTGGTCTCGTTTTGTTCTGTAGTTCATTGCTTTATACCTTTTTAATACTATTTTAAAATTACCAACATAACATGTTCCAGTTTGCTGACTACCGTGCTGCAGAGGTAATGACACAAATGTTTTTTAATATTCAATCATGTCTCCTGTTGGTTGCTTCAGACAGAAGCTGAGCCATGGCCTCAGTGGCCACAACATTATCCTTTTGGGGCAATTACAAGCAAATCCACTTCAAGTTCAAGAATTATTGTTTATGTCACTGACAAGCTCAGTTGGTTACTTTCTGTAAAACATTACAGAAGACTTCCCTTAAGAGATACACTTTTACCAGAAACATATTTTACAGTGCTCTATTCAAAGACAACAGCGCCAATTGAAAAAGAATGACAACTGCAGATCATTGGAGTTTTGTGTCTACGGCTGTATTGAGTAGTTCAACGGTTCATGTTATTTTCACTTTTGATACTGTGTGGTCTCACCCTCTGAGCTGCCTGCAGTTCGTCCTTCAGAGACGTCGTCTCTTGCTTTAGACTCTGTACTTCAGATTCCTTCACTATCAGCGTAATCTGACAAAAAACAAAAAAACAACAATAGATAATCAGTGTTTGGAAAGTGCAACAACAACAAAAAACACTCAAAGACAGAGACAGTTTGAGAGGGTGGTTAGATGACTTTAAGTCCATAACATTAGGTAAAACTGTCATGGAAAAGGGTTTCTCACACCCAGTTCAGTTGTGGAATCACTGTCTTAAATGCTTGCTGCAGGTGAAACTGCAACTACAGACACACAAAGGAAACATCCTCCTTCAAGTTCAAAACACATGGTAATGAGATAATGACAAATCTGACAAACTTCTGTTATGTTTCAGTTTTGTTTTCAGTGTAGATAAAGTTTATTTTTCTAAACATATTTTCTTTTATGCATGACTTTTTTCCATTATTACTTTAGATTTGAAGCTTTTGTTCTCCAGAAAACCTTTGATGTGGAAGAAGTTTTAGGATCCTTTGCTCAAGAAGAATATTTGGTAAAAAAAAACAATTATGTGTTAATTAGTTGCAGTTTGTATGGAACAAAGACTTCAGTGTTGCTCTCCCCCTGCACACGGGTGCAGAGAAACTTTACCTCCATCTCGTACTCCTCCATCCTCTGACTGACCGGCAGGTTGTCCTGCTTCACCTGAGAACACAGTCTGTTGATCTCTGCAGCCAGGTGAGCGCTGAGCTCCTGAAGGAGACAACACAACTCAAAGATAAGTCTTTTTTGTCTGATGAACATCGAGTGGTGACATAAAAACTCTGTGTGTGTGTCTCACCTGGTTCCTTGTCCTCAGGTGCTGGTTCTCCTGCTGACACACACTCAGAGCCTTCCTCTCTGCCTCCAGAGCCTGAACAAGATGACCAACCTCCAAACACCTAAGAGAGAACTGCTGAGAGAGAACCTGAAGCTCCCTGTGAGAGGAGGCCAGCTCCTCCCTGCGCGCACACACACACACACACACACACACACACACACACACACACACACACACACACACACACACACACACACACACACACACACACACACACACAAACACACACGGTCATCACATATATTTGCCATAAATACTAAACTCTCATCTTCATTCCAAGTCTTGACTTTGGTCTGAGACAGATTCATGCGTACCTGTGCCGTCTGTAAATGTCCTCCAGCTGAGTGTTACCTGAGCTGCTCTCACACTGACGTCTCTTCTGCTCCTCCCTCTGCAGCTCCACACGGTGCGCATTCTTTATTGCCTCGATAGCTGAGAGGAGAGGAGAACACAGGTGGTGGAATAAACACACCAGGTATCTTAAAGAACATGTCCTCTAATCAATACAGCCAACTGTCAGCAACTAAATCAATGTATGAAAAAACACAGAAGGAGCTTACAAGCCAGGTATGGTGACCACAGATTCAGATAAACCTGCCCATTAGTGTTACATGTAAATAAAATGATACTAGAATCTCTCTCAGTACTGTACTGCCTGACATTTACATGAAAAAACTGTTCTTTGTACCAGGATGTAAAGTGCTATAAAGTAGAATATTTTGACATAGGGCTCTATGGGGATTGACTCACTTTTTGAGACAGCCTCTAGTGGACACTCACTGAATTGTGATATATCATTTAGGTATATAAACCTTGTGGGTGCTGGCTTTATCAAGTTACCTCTCTAGGTCCAAACTCAAAGGCTGTTGCTTGATTTAATCTAGATTCAAGTGTTTGCTTTTAAGAGTCTGCTTTGTTTTATTTTCTTGGCTCATAAATTTACAAATGAAATATCGGACGGTTGACTCCTCTAACCGGTTGCTGTTGCAGCGCTCTCCTCCTCTAGCAGAACGTCTCTCTCCATCAGGAGGCGCTCCACTTCCTGTTGGTGTTGACGCTGCAGCTCCTCTACCTCCTTCAGGTGAGACTCCTCCATGGAGGCGAAACCCAGCTTAAAGTTAGCCTGAAGGGAACAAAGACAACTTCTTAGTAATTATGCCATCATCATTTGTTATAAAGGACATAGCAGAGAATAAACAGTGTATGTATGTCTGTATGTATCTAACCCTAACCCTAAGGTCATGTAGCGGTTAAGAGCTCAAAGTTTTTAAAGTTTTTGTTGCCTTCTTATGATAAATATAAATATATATGTAAACATCTATATATATAAAAAAAACACACCCAGCAGCACCCACCTTCAGTCTCTCCATCTCTCTCTCATGTTGCATCTGAACAGAATTCAGTTTCCCATCAAACCTCTGTCTCATTTCCTGCATGATGGACAGCTGCTCCTCAAGCTCCTTCACTCGTTCTCTCAGCAGTAAAACCTCGTCTGTCTCTGAGCTCGGGTCTGTTTGTGTGCATTTTTCTCTTTCCGTTTCCTGCACCACTCTTTCCCCATCTTTATCACATGAAGGAGAGACTAAATCAAACCCCTCCTCCTCTGCTGTCTGATGGACATTTTCCTCTGACACGCTGTCATATTGAGCCTGTAATTCACTTCCGGAGTCCTGTGTTGGAGTCTCAGCTGTCTGACAACCCGAGTCCGACAGTTCTCTCAGTGATGATGACTCTTCTTCTTCTCTGTTGGACAGTTGGGCTCTTAACTCACGGTTTTCTTTCATCAGCTCGACACAGCTTGTGCAGAGAAAAGAAGAAGTCAGAAGAGTGTTCTTGTTTTCTTTGAGTTTTCCCTCAAATTTACACTGAAGGTTTAAAAAGCAGCAGGACAGAGCTTCGGAGGCTGCAGAGAGAATCAGACCGAACCAGAACGAATCTGACAGGTAAGAGTTGGAGTGTCTGTTTGCTACCAGCCGGAGTCCGTCCAGTGTGGAGGAGCTGACGGAGGAGCTGAGAGAGGAGCTGATGGAGGCGGCAATAAGGTTAAGCAAAGTAATTTTCATCCGCGTGACGTCTCTTAAATGTTTTTTCTCAGATCTCCTGCTTTCAGTTTTCCTCCAGATTAAATCCAGGCGTGTGAAAGCGTCTCTGTCTTCCTTTGAGCATGCACCTGTTTCATGTATTAGACCGAGCCCTAAAAGCAGCATCTGTTTCTCCACCATCAACTGCTCCGTCACCTCTCTGAAAAGCTTCCCTTCCGGTTTCTGTTCCTGGAGATCAGAATGATCTGATTCCAGTTTTTTGATCACTGAACTCCAGAACGCCTCCTCCATCTTCAGCTGACTTTTCATCGTTAGCTCCTCCCCTTCCTCACTACAGCTAACATCCACCTCATCTATCACCTCCAGGAATCGATCCAAGGCCATCATCCTCATCATCATGCCCGACATCACTCTCTGGATCTTTTTTTCATCAGGACCTAAAACCCTGCTGCTCTCTTCATCTGTGTGACTCTGCCCCCTGATATCGAGCTCCGCCCCTGCAACTGACAGAAGTTCATCAGCCTCCTCACAGGTCTGCTCTGTTTGGTTGAGTTTCATTTTAAACTCTGTCAGCTCAGATTCATCCAAACTCTGAGGGTAGTGTCTCTCCTCTTCCTTGCCATCCTCCTTAAGATCCTCCCCTTCTTCTGCAGCATGGTTCAGCTGCAGCAGCTCCCTAGTCTCCCTCAGACTCTCCTCCAGTGACGAGATCAGACTCTGAGCCTCCAGGAGCTCCTGGCTCTTCAGGCTTAGCTCCAACTGAAGATCCACCACCCATGATCCTCCCTGACGCTCCTCTTCATCAAGGAGGTGGTGTTGTTCATCAGAAGGGATGAGTTGTGGCTCTTCATCAGGGAGGTTGTGCCGTTCATCAGCAGGGAGGAGACAAGGCTCTTCATCTGGGAGGTGCTGTGACTCTTCATCAGGGAGGTGGTGTGGTTCATACGCAGGGAGGAGACAAGGCTCTTCATCAGGGAGGTGGTGTGGTTCATACACAGGGAGGAGACAAGGCTCTTCATCAGGGAGGTGGTGTGGTTCATACACAGGGAGGAGACAAGGCTCTTCATCAGGAAGGTGGTGTGGTTCATCAGCAGGGAGGATATGAGGCTCTTCATCAGGGAGGTGGTGTGGTTCATCAGCAGGGAGGATATGAGGCTCTTCATCAGGAAGGTGTCGGGTTTGAGTGAGCTTCCTGCTGAGCTCCGCCCTCAGACGTTCGATCTCACAGTCTGCCTCTGTCAGCTGGTTCAGCAGTTCCTGGTTCCTCTGGTTCAGTGCCTCCTTCTGGCTGAGCAGTAGCTGTGCCTCCTGTGTGAGCCTTCTCAGCACCTCCGGGTCCGGAGGAATGTGATGCTCCACACAAGCGTACAGAGAGGTGTCATCAGTCCCTGCAGGTTGATCAGGTATTGACGATCCATACTGTTTGTTTTGAAGCTGCTCGCAGAATCCGTGTGGATCAGTCTGCAGGTTTGTTGTTTTTACGTCTAAAAGAGTCTCTGCAGTGTGACCTTCGCCGGGTGATGAAGGTGAGGATGATGGTGCAGAGGATGTGGAAGGTGCGGGGTCTGTATGAAGAAGCTCCCTCAGGTTCCCTCGGAGTCATGCAGCAGGATCCTGGGTGTCAAAGGAGGATGTTCCTGTCTGATGACGTTCTGCTGCTGCGATCTCTCGCTGCTTTCTCTCAGTGTTTCTGCGTCTGTACTCAGAGGAGGTTCCAGCTGTAAGAGGAGGAAAGACAAAAGTTAAATGATCTTCAGGATGTTGAACACAGACTCCCAGTAAAGTATCTGGGCTGAAATGTTTAAGACCTGACGATTGGTTCCAGCTCTGAGTTCATCCTCCAGCTTCAGTCTGAGACGCTCTGACTCCTCCAGCTGAGCCTTTAGATCCTCCACCTTAAAACAAAACAGTCATACATGAGAGGTTTATCATAACTTTAAATAACAGGTATACATCTGTTATTTAAAGAAAGAAATATAATGCTACTCTGCTGTAGCTGTTACTCTCTACTTGTTAAACCCAGGTTTAACTCTTACCATGGTCCTGAACTGTTCCAGCTGCTCCTCAGAGTCCCTGCTTTCTGAGAAAACAGCAACACTGTTCTCTGATCTGAAGAAACTCGTCTCCACCTTTCTCCAGCACTCCTCTACCTCCTCCTCCGTCTTCTGCTGGGACTCTGGACTCAAAGTGAAGCCCAGAACGCTCTCGTATCTCCTTCTCCTCTCCTCCCTACTCCTCCTCCTCTCCTCAGAGCTCCCAGCTTCCGTCCTCTGAGGGTCCGGTTCCTGACCCAGTTTACTCTGAGTGTCCTGACACGCTTTAGTCTCAGGGTTAGAGTCCTGAGACCTGAACCCGACCCAGTCAAAGGTTCTGTATCGTCCTTCTCTCCGTCTCTGCGTCACACAGACGTGTTTGATCTCATCTTTCTCTGCTGATGAGGAGTCATGAGTCAGGTCCGGTCTAAGGAGGTGCTCAGATGAGACCTGGAGTCCAGGTAAACTGTTCACAACATTAGATAGGCATGTTTAATGAGGACATTTCAACATAAAGAGCAGGGGGGTCAACAATAGATCATTCATGTACAAACAATACATTTCGTTAAGCTAATGGTCAAAGGTAAAGGAACGATTAGAGTAAGTTGTAGGCTCACTTGAACAACCACTTAGGCTTTTGACTTAGACTTGTTGTTTATTTTAACTAGATTAAGATTTTAAATTCAACCTGAAGTCTTCCAAGTATTGAAACGTATTTTTACCTGGTGACGTCAGGTGTGTTAGCGGGATGAACGTTCCTCATCAGAGCCTGGATCCAGCTCCTGCGCATCCCTGCTGTCATGGTCGACAGTGTGAAGACGCCATCAGGAGTCTGTGGGGGGAAAAAAAAACATTTCTCTTCTTGTTATCATGAAGCAGGTTTCTATTTCCTGTTTGGTCTCAGAGATGTTTTCTTACATGGATCTGGAAGCCGTAGTTTCTCTGAACATGAAATTCAGACACCTTAAAACACTTTGTAAGCTTGATTTCTCCTTCAAGATCTGAGGACTGAAAAAGAGACAGAAAAATATGATTCAACATTTGAGATTAAACCCAAACTAGGGCTGTCAACTTTAACTAGGTAATCACAATAGATTAAGGACTGAAATTAATGTGTTTATTTTTTTTTAAAATTGCGATTAATCGCGTGCTATTTAGTCCCTTTAGGCGTCCCGTGGATAAGCCTCTGCGGTGTCTCCCTGTAGTCTCAGTGTAGAAAAAAGAACGGCAGTGCTGCATTGATTATGGTCCAGAATGGCCTGTAGTTGTTTTGACCAGAGAAGGAGGCGGTTTTAAGGCACTCCCGTTGTTTTGGACACCCCTCGGTTTGCCAGATAGGAGACCAGTTATCATTGAAAAACCAACAGGTTTTGCAGCGATGGAAGCGGGCAAGAAAACTGGTTCAGATATAACTGATTCTACCTGACCTCAAAAGCTGACAGCCCTAAACAAAACATGTGTTTTTATTCTTCAAAATGATTAATGTGAAAATACCTCCTCAGCTAAGGAGTCCCTGTAGAATCTCAGACTGTTCATCGAAAGAACAAACCAATATTTCTTTGGCTGGAGGAAACAGATGAAAAAATTGATGAGAATAATAAACATAAACAGCAGTCAATAATATTTATATAGTTAAAGTGTTTACCTGCTCATTTTCATCCAGTTTGGCCATCCAGCCTTTTTTAAAGTTTAATAAATCTGGCTGTGAATAAAACATAAAAAACATTAACAACAAAAATCAGACGTGTGTGTATATGTTATATACAGTTATATATTGTGTTTTTTATAGTTATATATTGTGTTTTTTTATATTTATATAAAAAGTTATATATTGTGTTTTTTTCTGAACAGTTTTTAACATAAAAAAAACAAGTATCAGTAATATTAGACACTTTTATGGTATGGTTGTTTGCAGCACAGAAAATTAGCAGAATACTTTTACTGAAGTTTAAACTTCAACTTGTGCGAGTGCACAATGCTTCACTGCATCCAAAAGTAAAACATTGTCCCTATGACCTCTAAAAACAAACATTTCCTGGCTTCTTACATGTGAAGACACATTTTTCCTGTGAATGATTTAAAGATAATAACTTATTAATGATCCTTGATAATGGAAGAGTTTGTAAATTGATGAAAGTGCCACTTTTTGAACTTTGATACTGTTGTTGTTTTCTGATAAATATGAACAAAAAGTAAAGCTCATGGTTTGTTTCTGGCCACACATCAGCTTTTCAGTTACACACCAAGAAGATAAAACCTCAGATGTGACTGTGGTCCCTTTGTGGACTCCAGAGGGTGCTGCTGGAGCTACATTACCTCACTTTTATCTACACTGTTTATTCGCTCACATTCATAGCAGCAGAGTGTGATGTGACAAGATGCTGCTTTAATTTAAACACACAAATAAAAGACTTGTACATTTTAGAAACTTAGTTTGTGCCTCACCGTCATGACGGTGTCTGTCGTCCTGCGATCCAGAGACCTGGTCCTCCTCTGAGGTGGGGGGGCACAGAGCTGGTTGATGTCTCCACACGACTGAAGCTTCTGTAAAAAACACATTTTAGTTTTATATGTGATGTGCATCAGTGATGTGTTGCAGGATCAGTTTGTCAGAGTTTAACAGTTTGGATTAGAGTTAGTAATGTTCTGGATGTTTGTCAGACGTCAGATGGAGGATCAGAGCTGCACAGCAGGTGGGGGGGGGGGGCAGCAAGGGTAAATACTGCCTCTCACATCATCAGTAAAACAGATTAACAGACTGAGGTTGGCTCATGAATGAAATTTAAGGAGACACTACACATTCTCTGATTCGATAATATTTCAAATTGTTGCTAACATTCAAGCAGTCAATCTGATCAGGGCACAGACTTGCAGGCCAGGGTCTTGGTCATCACCTGACACAAGGTCTTTCTGTTACAGTAGCCTCTTCTATTCTACTTTCTCATATACTTTGCCCATCCTGGGTGATCTGGTAAAGTACCAGACCACCTCTGTATGTGGTCTAAGCTGTCAGATCTCGACCTGAGCCGCTCCTCTGGAAGGAGAATTACTTTTAAAAGACAGAGGACGTAGGAGGAGGACAAAACAAGAGGTGAAAGGGAGATAGCAAAGGAGTATGAGAAAGAGGAAAAAGAGGAGGCGAGGGGGGGGGAGAAGGGGGGGGTGGATGAAGGAGGCTGTGTTGTGAATCTGAGGTCTGAATAAACTCTGCACAGTGTCTTTGTCTCCACCTGACACTGAAATAAACTCACAGACTCATAAAAACTTCCTGATGAGATAAAAGGATGAACATGATTAAAGTTATTTTCTTCTTTTTTTTTTAAATTAAATCCCTTTAGAACGAGTTGCTCTTTAATCTCAGATTATCAGATGCAGAGACACACATCTGTGTCAGACTGAGACTCTCATCAGCCTGAACACTGAGGCGTGTTTTACCCAGAGTCAACCTGAAATCCTTCAACCTCTATATTTACATACTTAGTTTTTACTGCTAATTCTACACATACATTTGCCATTTTTAACATATCACTATAGCTACAAATCAATCTTCTTCATTGTTGTTGTTGCTGCTGCTCTGTTTGTCCCTATCCTTCTTCCTGCATCTCCCTCTATCCCACTTCCCAAGCCCAACACAGTTTCAGCAGATTGCTGTTCGTCTTGAGTCTGGTTTTATTCAAGATTTCTGCCTCTTAAAAGGCTGTTTATTCTTGACACTGCTTAGTTGCTTAGTGCTTAATGTGATTAACGTTAGGTCTTTGTAGATAATATGAAAAAGCATTTGTTATGAATTGCTGCTATACAAATCAATATTGATTGATATCTTTGTTTGTTATAAAAAAATCATAGATTGATTGAATCATAATTCATATGTGAATGTAGCCTGCTGCTCTGAGGTGTGATGCTGTCTGAACACGTCTGAGATGTCATCAGAGTTTAACTTCACTATGTAACTCTGCTCTTTCTTTTGACTGACACACACAAACAGGTGTTCACTCACTAAGGAGTGTACTACTGTATCGGTGTGTGTGTGTGTGTGCCTGTAGAGATCATAAACAGTCTTTAGCCTGCTATGTTAAGTTGTGTCTTGTTATCGCTGAGGAATCCTGGAAAAACTCTGTCAGTGGAATGTAACTGCAAGATACACACACACACACACACACACACACACACGCAAAAGGACTGAACACCTTCAGACATGAAACTCATATCTCACAAACAAACAAACAGCAGCTCAGAGAGTGTGTCAACTCCCCCTCCTTGCGTGTTTCATGATGTCAGATTTTCTGTTAACCTGTCGTCCCTCTCCCTCTTTCTTTCTGTAACACCTGGATGTGTGAGTCATGTTAAAACGAGTCCTGCTTAGTACAAACTGGGTGCTGACTGGTCCCAGTCGTGACTAACACAAATCAAGATTAATCAGTGTTAGGGTGTCTGTTTTTTTTTTTTTATCTTGCATGTCAAGTGTCTTGTGATACTTGCAGATATAAGTTACTGCCAACTATTAAAGTCATTTAACAGATAGAGACCCACCTGTGAAGACATGTTCAAGATTCATATCAAACACCAGTTAACATTGTTTTGTGAGTATATAAGCAGGTTAAGGCTGCTCATATGCAGAAACTTGAACAAAGAAAGTCATTCCTTCTGTTTCTGGAGTGTCCCTGCGCTGCCTGGGTCTCAGCCTGAAACCCTTTAAAACCACTTATTTCCAACTGACCCTGCCCCCTTTACCTGTGATGAACCCTGCCAGCCATTAATGCAATCTATTACAATCTAGAGTCTCGCTGTTCTCATTAAAAAATGTCGAACAAATAACAAAAAAATCTGTGGTAAAGAATCCGGATCTTTGGTGCCAGTCACTAGAATGAACTGGTTTTTATCAGAGTATTGTTTAACCGCCGATGGAGCTCAGAGGACACAGTGACAAAAAAAAAAAAAAACAGTCGATTCAATAATCTGAGTCATTTATAGACTGTTTTACAGGTAATCCCTGCAGAGGCCTGCAGACGTGAAATAAAACACTGCTGTTGATGAGAGACAATGAGCGTGTGTTGCTAAAGAGAACACACCTACCTACATGACGAGTAACAGAGGAACCCTCCAAACAGACCCACAACATGTCCAGAGGGAAAACATGATGACACTGTCCAATGACGTATATCTACAATATGTGTTTTTTATGTATGCCAAATAAGTCTGAGTCCTCAGCAGGCCTGCTGTCTGACTGCCAATGTAAACTTCTGTCATTTTCTTTTACCCTTAACATCTTGACTTTCATCATCATCATCATCATCATCATCAGTGAAAAAAAAGGGGATGAGGTGTGAAGCAGAGTTCATAGAGATCCACTTGATTTGTATGACTCCAGTCTTAAAAGTCCTTAAACAGGTGTTGAGGTTCAGTTAGCTTTACAAAGAATAAGCCAGTAGAAATGTCCTTCAGAGGGACACTTTTTTACTTTTTTATTATAGGGAAACATTTCCGAGCGTGGACATTAAGTTTTACTACAGGAAACGGGTTACAGCACTACTTCTACTTGTAGCACAGTCTGTTTTCACACATTTCTTTAGTAAAGAATGTGTGCACTTTACCTCAGTGTGTCGTTTATTTGTTGCTGTTGTCCTTACCTCTCGTTTGCTGGTGCGACTTTCTTTCCTGCTCTTCCTAGGAACAGCTGACCCTTCTTCCAGCTCGTCAAATCCCAGCAGCCTTTCTGAGAAGTCGCCATGACTGGAAAACACAAGCAGGGAGTGAAATATAAACAGTCTGAATGTTTATGTACCGGTCGTTATTAGAAGGTTTGGTGCAGAACATCTAACAGAAATGTGTCTCCTCCCTCTGATCAGACTGTCATTATCAGACATACACTGATTTCTGCTATTCATCAGAGTTTACATTTTTGTGTGTGTAGCGAACCAGTTTACTGCTGGAGCTCAAACTTGAAGCAGTTTCTGCTTCATGTAAAAGCAGCAGTCGGATGTGTAATGGAGGGGTTCAGTCTTTGATCTGCACTTCAGTGTGTGTGTGTGTGATGGTTTTGAAAGGGGGAGGTGTAGAGGATGCCTCTCTGCTAATTGCTTGCACATTTACCCCGTTTCCTTTCTTAAGACCTTTAAATGTCAGAAACTCCAGAAAGCATGCAGAAATGTACACTAAATATAATCACAATATTATGAAAGAAAAAACCTTTTGTCCTGGCTCTTGTTGTTTGTTTTGATGTTGTTCGACACGTCGTCCTTGACTACGCCCGTGTTTCTGCTGCTCAGCAGGTCCAAAGAACGCACATGATCACACAAAAGTCCAGACTCCCTGCATGCAGGACCCGGGCTGGGAGACCGTTCACCTGCTTATGAAGAGGAGCATAAAACGTTTCAGACACTGATCTAAAATCAACCGTCTGTTTGGAGGCATATAAAAGGGAGAATGTTCCGTTTCCAATCTGCACACCAAACCTCAGGACCGTGTTACTTTGACGGAGAAGTCTGAGAGTGTATGTAGTAAGTAACAGTAAACCCGAAAGAAAAACTATACTCATTTCAGTATTATTAGTTTGGACATCACCACAGGGGCGCGGAGGCTAAGGAGGATGATGAAGTAGAAGAGAGAGATAGTGGCTGTGCACAAGGTTAGAGGGGGATAAATGTCAGACTGGTTTTATTTGTTGGAAGCAGACTTAATCATCCTCTGAAATGGCAACTATGCACAGACACAAAAAAATAACGGATTCAGTGATGTTCCAGGACTTCAGTGACAGAAGGAACATCCATGCTTGTCCCGCAGAGTCTCTGTGTAAAACTTAAGAGGTACACTTGAGCGAGTGAACATCTGCAGGACATTAGGACAGAGGATAGGAAGTGTCTCTGATTTGCTGACTGACTCTGTTTCTGAGTGTGTGTGTGTGTGTGTGTGTGTGTGAGAGAGAGTGTCAGACCTGAGCTGGACTCTGCAGGACTCTCTAAGATCAGGAAACTTTGATCTTTGGCAGCCATCTTCGCTGGACTCGGCTCCTGATGTTTCGTAAGAAAAACAAGAAGATTATAATATGATTTATTTATCTAATATTGCCCATCCCTTTTCAGCATTTACAACCAGGGTAGTTTACGTTCCATAAATTATATATAACATTCACAAGACAGTCTGTATTGGCTGAAACATCTGATTTTGACTCTTCTTCTTTGGTACCTGGGAGGTTACAGGCTCCACTTTACGTTTCTTCTTCTGGTTCTGTTTGTTGATGCGCAGAAAGACAGCCAGCTGATCACTCCACCTAAAAAATGGCATGTGTGTGGGGGTGTAACATCACTGATCCTGTTAATGATGCACTGACTCATGATGTACTGATTCATTGATCGATTGACTTATTGATGCTCTGACCCGTTAATGATCTCTTTTGTGTCTCCTCTGATGAAGACCTCCTGTTGCGGTGTAGTGATGCACAGAGCATTTCTCTGACCCGTCTTGGTTTCTGCATCACTGACTTCTGAGCACAGATTAAGGTTCATGGTCCCCTGAGGAAGGGTGCTCGGCTGCAGGAGAGACACAAAATCAAGTTATTCTGGAGAGTCAGTCACAGAGTTACACTGACAGAGGGTCAACTGAACAGTTTATGAGTGATAACACACTACACTGAGAGAGTGTGTGCTGTTAAAGAGGAATAGAGAGACAGTATGAGATTTAAAGGGATCACAGGGGAAGGGGAGGGGGGGTGCATTAGAGGGAAGGTTTAACCTAAATTATCCTCTGCAGTCTGCACACAACATGTGGCCTAAAGAGCCTGCTGATCCCAACATACAAATACAAGTACGCAGCAGGATTCACTGCAAATGGCAGCATCATGTATCTGCCTGTTAGTTTGATATCTCATCAGTTTCTGTGTGTCTCATGTAAATCTCATTTATGTATCATGTTTTGTTGTTCTTGCAGTTTCTTACCAGTTCATCCAGTGCGAAGCTCAAACTGCCATCTTCACACAGAATGAAGAAGCGTCGCTGCCATTTCTGACATCAGGACAAAAGGATAAAATCAAAGAAGCAGAACTTTATTTGACTCAATATGTCATAATAAAAACATAAAATGTATTAATATATTTGTATATTTCAGTTTGGCATCATGTCATACCCTGGACCTCTGTACGGGGTTTTCAAAGTCTGTCCCCTCTGGAGCCAAACACAGCCAGCCTCCATAAACTGGCTTCACCTGAGGGGAAGCAGGGGGAGATCATGGTCGCATGACTAAGGTACAGAGCTGAAACTATAAGTCAAATAAGGCAACATACAGTTTCTCTAAATACAGATTTCAATAAACCCATACCATGTGGCATCTTAAGGTTGCATGTTTTGAAACCAACCAGCGCTTCAAAAGAAAAAACCCACAGATTTTAATATAACACTAACGTGACAAAGGGAAAGGAATTTTTCTTATTTAAGAAAATTAAAAATATATATGAATTTCTGCTTCAAAATGAACTCATAATATTTCAATTCTTGCCATTAACTCATCAATTAATCAATTAAACAGTTAAGATCTTTGTCAGCTGTGTCTATTAGCTTTGGTGTATTTTTGATAAATATGGACTAAGTTTTATTTTCTATCTCTGACAACAGTATGATAGTAGCTCTGCTTTCCACAAAAAGACCCAAGGTGGACACTTAAAAAACTAGCAAAGTGAAGGAAATGCACAGAGAAAGTGGAACCAAAAAGTCACATGGACACAGAACGTCCATCAGTCAAAAGTTGCTGCACATTTTTGAAAACCTCATCTCTCTATGTTGACTGTGTTATAAAGAATCTGCTTCATGTTTGCAAGTTGAGTAACACTGTGCACAAATAACAGGGCACAGAGAACCAGGCAGCACACACAGTAATAACATATGAATGAAGAGAGGCATGTAGGAGCTGTCATGAACGCCTGATTACATCATCGTTACAGACCTGCAACAACAAGGTTTAAGACAGGAATTAGTGCTGCTGAGTACGAGTATAGACTCTTTTTCATACCTGATACCTGATAATAAAAAGTGTACACCTTTGTATTCTGCTGATTACTAATAAGTTATCGAAATGAGATAAAGATTAATTAGACTTTTCTCATCTATCATACAGCATACGTTTGAAATTCTTACTTTCACCAGAGGATTTCTGGACTGAAGGTTAGACATCATATTAACTGTTGGCGGCTCGAGCAGAACAGGGAGAGTTTATCTTTATTTAAAACCTCTCGTATAGACAACATGATCACCCATGTAAATACAGACTGGACTAATTCACTGTCAATTAGACGACACAGGGTCTCTGGGTAAAAAAATAAATAAAATGCATTTACAAAACTCTCACTGAGTTTTCAGATAGTCAAACATGTCAAGTAACTCTACACTTCAGAAAGAGAAATGTATACTTTTACAGTATTTCTCTATACAAACTTTTAACTTACAGCAAATAATTCCTGATAACTGCAAACAGAGAAAAGTTAAGAAACTGAGGAGGAGTATAAAACTAATTTACTCTAATTTAGAAGAATAACCTGAATGGACCAATTGCCTGTAAACCTCACCCTTATATCTCAAATGACAGCACTGAATATACTCAAGTGGAAAACACAGTAACAAATTACAGATTAGCTTGACATATATCTAAAGAGAACATACAGAAATAAATTACTGACAGCTGGACATTTTAGGGAAGTTAATAATATTTACAGACAGAAAAAAACATCCAAACTTGATAAACTCCCTAACTCACTAAACAAAGACTTAATGTTGGTCCAGTTTGCCAGTTTAGGATGCTGATAAATAATTTAATAATAATTAAAACAATAATAATAATTTAAACAGTTATCGAACTTAAATTTAAATGAATCTAAATTTGAATAAAGTAGTATTATGGCAGTAGGCTGACTTCATCTCACTTTAGGATTGTATTAAAAAACCAGAGAGTAAATAAAAATGATTTTTGTGCCCAAAAAAAAAATCACCTCAACACTTTTATAAGTCGAAACATTACAGAAAGTAAAGAGTAAAATGTCTACATGATTTAAATGATAGGTTATATGTACCTGCTCCTTGTCGTGGTCGTTCAGCAGATGAAGCTCTCGGGGTTTGAAGCAGTTCTGACATTTACTTTTATTGAAAATGTTCGCTTGGAATTTGTTGCACGGACTCGTCGCCCTGTCAGCCGACATGTTTTCGCGGTGGTCTCGCTCCTCTATGCCGGGTAAAGATCCAGACACACACCGCTGTCTCCAATCAGACCTCCAGTGTTCAACGAGAAGGTTTGTCACTCAGGAACATCTGTCAAACACAGCGCGAGCTCCTGCTGACTGCTGTCGTCATGAACCAACGACTGTAAATATCAGGTCATGAACGCCTCATCTGACGTAGAACATCCGGTTACAATTCAAAATTAAAGCCGTCGACAAGGTTGACGTAAAAAGAAGCAAATCAATAAATACATTTAATTAAAAAATAACTTTTATTAAATCACATTTCACTACATTAGATACTGATAAATGTAGCTTGGCTTGGTTCCGTCCCAAGCTAAATGACGTAACCTATTCAAGTGATGTTCAATTATGCAAAATCAGCAGTAGCAAAGATGTAGACATATGAATATAAAAAAAAAAGTGAATTCGTTTCCTTTCCTTAAACAATTTTAATAAGATTTTAAATTTTAACTCTGCACTGTAACTTTTAACTCTTTTTATATTTTTACTTAATTTATTTCAATTAATTTCATTTGAATTATTTTTATTTGAACATATGTTCAGATTTAATAATTCCAGTGATTTTTATTTATTTTTTTGTAATGTTCTATTTTAATTTTTCTTTTCTTTCCTCTGTCATGATGCTTTTGATGTCTTGTGTGAAGCACTTTGAATTGCCTTGTTGTTGAAATGTGCTATATAAATAAACTTGCCTTGCCTTTTTCAGTTTGAGAGTCTGACACAAATAGGCCTATTCCATTATTTTCTCAAGGAAACAGATTTACCAGATAAAGTTAAATGCTGATGTAGGCCTATACGTTTTTATTTTTTAGCTTAGAGATACATTTATTTTTTCTTCGTTTCAATGTATTTTTTAATTTTGACTGACCGTATATTTAAAACGGTCTTTGAGGATATATTTCAAAATGTATACACCAGACGGTAGTATTTCATTTTCCTTTAATATTTTATTAGAGTTTCCAAATGAATGATTTTTATTCGTAATGATGTAATTCAGTGGTTCTCAAACTATGGTAGGCGTACCACCGGTGGTACGCGCGCTCCCTGTGGTGGTACGTAAAGGAATCTCCACAATATATAAAAAAAAAAAACGTTCAGCATAAATCGACAACTTTTGTTGTTGTTGTCGTACTCTTATCTTATCTGTCTTGTATCTATTGGGTTGTATTTATATCGAATGTGTTTCCCCCTCTAAATTAATCTAGTTTTGAAAAGTTCCATTCGATATTCAGTTATTTACAGGAGTTCAGTACTGAATCAACAGCAAGCAGCTGTAGGCCTACATTAACATATGGGATATGACGTCAGCCCAACGTCGGGATATGACGTCAGCCCAACGTCGGGATCTGACGTCAGCCCAGCGTCGGGATATGACGTCAGCCCAGCGTCGGGATATGACGTCAGCCCAGCGTCGGGATATGACGTCAGCCCAACATCCGGATCCGACGTCAGACCAACGTCGGGATATGACGTCAGCCCAGCGTCGGGATCTGACGTCAGCCCAGCGTCGGGATATGGCGTCAGCCCAACGTCGGGATATGGCGTCAGACCAACGTCGGGATATGGCGTCAGCCCAACGTCGGGATATGGCGTCAGCCCAACGTCGGGATATGGCGTCAGCCCAACGTCGGGATATGGCGTCAGCCCAACGTCGGGATATGGCGTCAGCCCAACGTCGGGATATGACGTCAGACCAACGTCGTGATCTGACGTCAGCCCAACGTCGGGATATGGCGTCAGCCCAACGTCGGGATCTGACGTCAGCCCAACGTCGGGATATGACGTCAGCCCAACGTCGGGATCTGACGTCAGCCCAACGTCGGGATATGACGTCAGCCCAACGTCGGGATATGACGTCAGACCAACGTCGTGATCTGACGTCAGCCCAACGTCGGGATCTGACGTCAGCCCAACGTCGGGATATGACGTCAGACCAACGTCGTGATCTGACGTCAGACCAACGTCGGGATCTGACGTCAGCCCAACGTCGGGATATGACGTCAGCCCAACGTCGGGATATGGCGTCAGCCCAACGTCAGGATATGAATGAAAACATTCATTTTGAAGGATGTCACTTGGACATCAATAGTGAACGTTTAAAAGACGATCAAAAACTACGTCTCTTTAACATCCAGTATCGACGTCTACAGGACTGCCTTATATGGTTCGGATTGAACGTTTTTGTGACGTCTTTCTTGGACGTTAAAAAGACGTTTAAAAAAGACTTCATAAAAACTTTGATTCTGAACCAAGGGAAGGTGTCCTTTAATTAATATCACATGAAATATGTTGCACTTCACATTTTGTGTGTATTGACAATAATAATGGTTATGATGATGCAACTGCATGTTAGTAAAGACAAAACTAACACTTTAGCTAAAAACATTTTTAAAAGAATAAATTTCTCGATTTTCACTTTAAAAATACGATTATTCACAGCCTAACAGAATTTTAAAAAACTCACACAGACTGATAGTGGATGCAAGCTTTTATTTGAGGCGATGGCAGTGGCAAGGTTTGAACAATCTAAAAAATTTTTTTATTTTAGGCCATCCAGAAAATGTTTAAATACAGAGGCTGTTTTTTTTTTCTCGTTTGATATGTCCATTGCTTAAATACAGTTTGTTTTATCTGAAACTGAACATATTGTAAGCTGTATGTGCTTTTAAAGCACAGAAACATCATTTCAGAATGAATTCATAATCTTGTTAAAATATTTATTTAAACAGATGCAATAATGTCACACAAAGTTTAAAGCTCTTAAATGTTATTCAGTATACTATCCATAAAATGTAAAGGTGTTTTTTACATGTGCAATGCTTTATTTTTATAACATGACCATAAGACAATTTAGGTTTTTTCATTCCGATATTGATGGTAAAATGATTTATTATGGCTGGTGACCATCACATAAACCCCACCCTTTAAGTACAGTTGCTATGTCTGTTGGGACAAACAGCAGATTATGTGAAATAAAATAAAACAGTGGCAGACTTACCATTTGCGATATTTAATAATGAATTATTTAATAGATATATGCTTTATTTTGTTAGACAGGTGGACAAGAGCTGGCCTCCCATTTCAGGTGTTGGCCATCTAAAAGTTTATTGGAAAGTAAGCTAATAAATACTTCATGAATATGTTGAAAAAGCTGTATCCAACACTGATTTTTCAAAAGAAAGGGGTCTACATCTATGATATTGGATAAAGATCATGCAAAAGCTAACATGTCGCAGGTTAAAAAGTTTGCATTTAAGTAAAAGGCATTCATGTTTTTTACAGTTTATCTAACTAGTCCTAGAAAAACTAGTATGATCAGAGAAATGTCAAACCAGAAAATTATTTTGTTCTTTGACATTAAAAAAAATTACATTTGTTTATTCTCAAAGTGACCTATGTTTTTGTAATCAATGTATTTCAATATTTAACGCTATTTCTAGAAATATTAGTTTTTCTTTAATCTTTAACTTCCCTGCTTTCATTAAAGACAACTTAACATCTAGCTAGCTAGCTGACTAACTAGCATTCAATTCATGATATGCTAGGTGATCCTAGGATAGCCACTTTGTGATGTAATTACAGACTGTATTAAAATAGACATAGCCATCAGATGTCATCCTTTTCTCAAATATAGTTTTGCAGCATTGCCATTATCATATTTGGACATATTTCTTTCTGTTTTGTAAAATGATGGCGATTCCCCGATGCTAGTTCTTGGTAGCTAAACTTCACCATTGCTGTTCAGAGGGAGGGGTTTACAATAGTCAACAGTCATAAAGTTTAGGATCTTATTTTAGGATAGAAAAAGGGCATTTTAACTGGATTAGCAGTATTGGTTGGAGCACTGTATGTGTTCATAAACATTAGTATCCTAACTTACATAGGGAAATATTTTTTGTAAAAAATAAATACATAAATAACCTTTTTTTTCTCTCAGAGAAATCAAAGTTTGTGCTCAGAAGAGAGAATCTAAACATTCGACTGTTTTTCTCACACAGTGCATTTACAGATAAACAGATATTCTGTGTTATTGTCAGGCAGTATTACTTCAGGTTTGAGATACATGTCACATTCATTCTACAACAAATGTCATTAATACTAAAGTTCAGCAATTCAGTACAAGTATACTGTGTGAGTATTAGGCTGAAGCTGATAGTTGGCTATTCAGAACTGAAGCACACTGCGGTCCAGTTTGTAAAGTGGATGTAGATCTTTTTAGCCACTCAGGACTCGTTTACAATAAGATCAGACTGGTCTGTGCTTTAAAACTCATGCCTGTGATACATGTCGGGGTCGTAGTATTTGGTGACCACGACTCTGTTGGCAAACTTTCGGCCGGTGAGAGCCTGCATGGCTTTCTGACAGTCTGCAGCGGAAACATACTCAACGAAGATCTGGAAAGAAGATCAGGTCAGACAAGTGTTTAAAGGTATGAAGCACAAAGAGGGCTGTAGGGCCACATTTTATTTTCTTTAAAAGTAAGTTAAGTTCTGATGTCCTCAGACACAAACCTGAGTTCTAACATGCCAGAACCAGACAGATAGAAAATTCTCACCTTCCCACAGCCAGGGACTTCCACACCGTCGACAGGTCGAGGAATCTCAATGGAGCGGACACTGCCATACTTGCAACACTCCTCTTTGATGTCTTCCAGGATCTCCTCATAGTCCTCATCCTCCACCAGCTCCTCAGGCATCACCATATTGAGGAGGCACAACACCTCCGTAGGCATGCCCGAGTTCTGCAGCATCTGCAGGCCAGGGACCTGTAGTGTCACTGGGGTCTCTATGATGGAGGTCTGCAGAGTCACACACATCAGCTTTAGTGGGATTTAATGCAGTAACTGTAGACAGACAGGACCAAGATCCAGACTCACAGCCTGTTCCTGATTCCAGATGTATTTGGCTTTTGTCTTTATTTAGTTGTGTTGTCTATATATGAGGTATGTGCTTGTGCATGTATTCCAAACTTAATGAAAAAATAATGTCATTTTTGCTTGTGGTTTTTTAAATATATTTTTTTGTTTTCTATATCGGACTTCTGTGAATTACCTGGATGTTGTTTTCAGAGGAAGTGACAGATGAAAAGCATTGGTACTCACAGGATTGGCGTTTTTAGCCCCCACACTCGCTCTTTGGACGATCAGCTTTTTGTCTCCTAGTTGCATCCCGTTGAGTCCAGCAACCGCCTACGAAAGTAATCACACAAACTCACAGTAACACATTAAAGCTAAACATCTCCAAACCTCACAGAACGCAGATATGCACCTGATCTGTGGCACAGACGTCAACGTATTCACAGAAGGCGTAGCCTTTGGACAGAGACGTAGCACTGTCCTTCACCAGATTGAACGCTTTGAGAGGCCCGAACGACATCAGGAGCTCCTTCACCTGCAGAGAGCAGTCGGACACAAACACCTTGGAGGGATAATAACAGTAAAAACAGTGAACAGGTTTTTAAACTACAGACTGATTCTAAATGTCACATCATTTATATAAATAACATGAAAGTGTGTCAATCAAACTGGATTTTAAGATGCTTCATTTTTATGTTGAATCATGGTATTAGGAAAAGAAGAGACAGCCGAGTAAAATCTAGTTTGAAGTTTCAAGAATTCTGCTGATGTGGACCTAAGCCATAGGACAATAACTTTTTAGACACAGATATACCACAGCCAAATAATTAGCAAAAGTAGAAATATTCTCTTCTGACAAACACAGCAATATAATAAAAAAAAAGAAAACTATCTCCATTTTGTTAACTGTATTTCACTTTTATCATAAAAGTAACTAAAGCATATGTTTCTTACCCTTATATTACAGCTGAATGAACCACCACCATCAACAACACAACAACCACACCCTGTTTTCTGAATGATCAAGCCTAAAGGACCCTTAACGCGCTCCAAAGCATAATGGGAAAAAAGAGCAGCCAGAGGAGGCAGCGGGCTGTAGGAGTGTGTCCCTGTTAGGACAGGATGTCTTACTTGCCTTGTGTTACATGTTGGCATGGCAGCAGTAGATGAGAACTACTGAACAAACTATGAGCGCAGACTTAACGATCTTACGGCCCCTAGCTGGGGACAAAGTGGGGGAACAAAAATGAAAGATCTGTGAGTATCAATGCAGCACCAGAGACTGCAAGAATTCAAAATAGAAATAAAAAAAATACGTCAGTGAATGATAAATATTTAATGAATATAATATACATCAGTGTTCAGGTGCTCTGTGAAGTTATAAATGTAACAGAATGACAGTTTTGATTTGATGAGAATATAAACAGACCTGCTGTCCTGACAGCAGAGACAGATGTGGATCTGATTGATAAAATAAATTAATTAGTTGATTGATTTCTCCTTTAAAGTCTGGCACTCAGTATTGATGGTGTTTATTAGTAAATATTCACTCTGACTTTTTGTATTTTTCAAGAAAAAATACACTCATACCTTTTGTTTATTAATTTATTTCCCTTTTTAAATCTACTTTGGGCGTGACAGTTTTTCTTTTTTTTTTTACTCAGCCACTTTCCCTCTACCAGTCTGATTCTATTTGGTATCCCATAATGCCTTTCTACAATCACCAATAGAGACAAAAAAAATATTATCTAAGTACTATCAATCAGCCTGTGATGTGAATATTCTTGACTTTTCTTACCTTTCTTTCGTCAGAATGCTGAACATGAGAAAGGTATTTCCAGTAAGAGCCATAAAGAGTTCTTCAAATATTCATGTACGATTAACAAAATAAGATGATTCATGTTTTATTTGACTTTAATCAAAACAAGAGCTTTTTTCTTTAAAGTTGAATCACTTGTAGAAGTTGTCAACTGTGATTAAAAATACCTAAAAGACAGAAAGAAAACGTAACGAACATGAACTGATTTTATACTGTGTAGTGATCGTTGTTTTGTTTTTCTAGTTTATGTTTCTAATAAAGATTAAGTTCTCATTGAATTTATTTTTTGTCTTTTCTGCACACATTACTTATGTGTCTAAACAAAGAAATGTCAAAAACAGATTTTGTGCATGTTTAAAATGTGACAAACACCTGGGGGTGGAAAGGGTAAAGGGAAAGGGAGGACACATGAGATCACCTGTCGAATGAGTTTTCAGGTAAATACCTGGTCATCGTTCAGATAGTTGGGCAGACCTCCGATGAACAGTTTGTGAGGAGAATCCGGGACGACAGTGGAGACCACTCCTACACACAGTAACAAATATTTTCAGAGTATGTAGAACTGAAGGTGCAGAGCTGGGCACACGCCTGTTAATCCGTTAAATACCAACAGGATTAACTGATTAACCAACATTAAAGTTAACTTCTTTGTCAATGGTTAACGGAGTTACATTTTTTAATTAACGGTGCCCACCAATTTTATCCTACTTCGCTCACACACGTGTCAGAAACTCACCTGGGACGTGGAAGGCGGGCTGCTCTGAGATTCCAGGTAAAGGTCGGTAGTCGTGAGGCCGTCTGATCTTTAGCGACTGACCCTGAAAAATGATTCCGTCGAAGGCCATCGCCTGCGTCGTCTCGTCTACAGAACGAAACTGAAGAGACCAAATTATCTGCTGCAGAGCGTCGACATAAAAACACCATGTCAATTTATGAAAATAATAGTCCTACAAATAAAATAAGTGGAAAGTAGAAAAAGAGGACATGACTCTGCAGCTGGACGCTTAACATCTTAAGCGGTACCTGTGAGTTACTATTAGGGACTTTTAAACAGTTAATCGTCTCAGATGAGAAAATAAAAGAACCACATGTTTGAGCAGAGTTTACAATCCGGGCCTGCTGTTATGCAATTTGTGGGCATGGTTTCACAAACTCTGGGGATGGTTTGAAACATGATTTCTCTCTTCAGAGAACAAAGAATGGACCGTTTCCAGGGCGACCACATCTGCCATGTAAAAGCTGTGAAAGTCCCATGCAAAACACAATACAGCATTAAACAACCCTTGAATCTAGATAAACTGGATTTACCTGGAGGATGTGGTTTACCTTAGTTTGCCTCTGTTTCCTGTTTTTATGCTTAGCTAGGCTATGCTAAGCTAACTAGCTGCAGCTTCATATCCAACATGTTAACATGAGAGTGATGTGAAATGTCTCATTTAACTCTGAGAGAGAATACACCTTACAGATTAGACCTCTGCAACAACCACAGCTCATTCTGAAGTAGATAGAAGAATAACAACTTCCTCTGATCTTTCTTATGTTTCAGCATGGATACATGGAACACTGTTGAGTACAAACCTCCAGGAAAGCAAAGTTTTTGTCCTGGTTGATCTGCACAGCGAGCACAGGGTTACTGGGAGCCTGTGAGAGTCCGGCTAGTCTCATCTGAGCGTTGAAGAACTCAGCCATGGACTCCTGAGGAGGAAACAGACAGATTATTGGAAACTCTGCAGCATCGACAGATAAACATAAAAAAAAAAACAATACTCTACCTCCGTCACTCCAAAGGGAATATTTCCCACATATAGCCGTCGGGCCTGTCTTGTCATCTGACTGCCAACGATGGGAACCTGTGTGGGAGCTGCAGACAAGCCGGTGGCGGTAGAAGTGGCCAGAAGAGCGATTGTTGGAATCTGACCGGCCGCTAAGAAGAGAGACAAATGAGGATCTAAATCTCGAGTAACCACTGATTTGTTTTTTTAAAATGGTTCTTTATCTCATCACGACTGCAGTTTCAGTTCCAGCAGTGTGACACTCCTGTATGTGTGAACCAGACTGACTGTAACACACCTGTATCAGTGGAGCAGTCTGACTCTTACACTCCTGTTGCGTGGGCAGCAGACTGACTCTTGCACTCTTGAATGTGTACACCAGAATGACTTTTACACTCCTGCCTCTGTGCAGCTGTGACTCATGCTGGTACCTTGCATAGCTTTATACTGCAGCGGTGTGATGTGTTCAAAGCCAGGAGGAGGAACGTCCCAGTATTTGCACGTTCTTTTCTTCCTTGTTCTCCTGGGAGAGTGGCTGAACGCAGAGAGACAACATAATAAAGGCCTTCATAAAGTACATGCAGTGTGTTTTCAAACTGAAAGCCAGCTCTGATACCATACAGACCTGTGCTTCTTGTGGTCCCTGGAGGAGCTCCGGCGGTCGCGGCTCTTGCGTTCTCGGCTGCGGCTCCTCTTCTCTCGACTGCGGCTTCCTCGCTCTTTGCTCCAGCTGCGATGTTTGTCTCCTCGGCCTGGAGATCCACTGCGACTCCTCTTTTTATGTCGTTCTCTTTCTCTCTCTGCGTGGACAGCAGGAAGCCATTACAAGGAGCTTTTCTTTTGAAAAATATATCTCTATACATCCTATAAGTTATTTTCCTTGTTAATTTATAACTTCAATCTTAGAAAACGAATAATAATTAATTATAATTTATATTTAACTTCTCCTAAATGTAATGGACTTCATAATGCTGTAGTGAAGGACGTGAGAACTCTTCTGGCACTGACTTGAATATCCACGGAGAAGCTCTGCTCTCATAAAAGGTCAGATTTCAGTGTTTTGTTACTTTGTGTATCTTTAGTTTGTTTTTGCATCTGGGACCATTATGCGTTTAACATATGCAACAACTTCCAAGGTCAATCTTTGCCAACGAGAGTTATACATTGCACATTTCTATTTATCATTTTACTGAGAATTATTTATTTATTTACTTACTTTATTTACTCAACAATGGACTGATTTTTTTTTTTTTTAAATAAAAAAAACTATGAAAAATAGGACATTTAATCACATAAAACAAGTAAATCAATAATACATCTGATTAAATTGGAAAAGGGGATTTTCTTTTGCTTAAAAATCGTGGAAAATTCGAATATTTTACAAGTTGTAGGCTATTAGCTTCAGATCATTTGGGATTTTCCACAAGTTAATTTATTTACTTGGTTATTGTCATGAATGTAAATGATTGTGGCTGTATGAATTATGATAGAAACACATTTATGAGGGGGGTGATGTCAAATATTATCATTATTTCATAACAAGAAAGTTTGTATCAACTTATCTATGATGTAATGCAGCTGCTTATAATTGACAACGAGTGGAAAACCAAATTATAATAATTCAAATTTGTCACATAAAGTCATTTGTACCCACGTACATCTCTGTAAAGTGGAAAACAACATCAAGGATATTTTAATGGAATTTGTAAAGGCAGGTGAGTTCACTATGAGGTCTCAGGTAACCACAGCTGTATGAAGCCTTTGACAGGATGAGATCAATGCAGCATGAAGCTCGATGCAAAACATTGTTTACGTGACAAAAGGGCAACAAGCAGGGGCCATTTATTGGAAACTTAAGAGGCTTGTCAGGACGGGATCTTCATTCATAAAAACACTTGGAGGAGCTAATGTTACGCACTATGCTAGCTTGAAGATCAAACAGGGACAGGCTGCTGATACTCACCCTGTCGGTTTTCACTCAGCTGTTTCTCAAACTCCTCAAAATCAGACATTTCAACGATTTTCTGTGACGCTCAACAATATATTGGCCTGTCTTGTTCTGGTGGGCTTGATGAAAACCGATCAGTTCGCTGTGTCAGTGAAGCAAACACCTCTGAAATCTGTCACTGAAGGTAATCAAAACACACCACGTCCGGTTACATTTCAGAATAAAACTACTGCTCACCATGTTTTTTTTTTTTCTAGTTTGAGAAACATAAATAATGGGAAGCTTCGAAATTATAATCCTATAAATAAAAGAGAGAAAAACAAGCAGACAGCACTTCATACAATTTTTTTTTTTTTTAAATACATCTCTGTCTTTCTTCTATTGCAAGAGGGACCAAGATTTTGAATTTTTCTGATGTACCTGAAATTACAAAAACCCTAAAAGGCAAGCACCTCTAGGTGGGCGGTGGTGTTGTGTTTGGCACTGTTGCCTCACAAGCCTGCGGGTTCTGGGTTCAAGCCCCAGCTCAGGTTTCCTCTGTGGAGCTAGAATGTTCTTTCTACCACAGGAGTGTGGAACCATGATTTTGAACGTCACGGAAAAGAGCATAAACCTAAGAAAGCAAACTTTGGCATTGACATGTCTGCCTGTCTGCCTGTCTGCCTGTCTGTCTATTTTTCTGAAAAAACATGATTAGAAGAAGAAATAAAAGAACAAAAAAAACTAGAACAACAAGAATAACAAGAACAACACAATTCTCTCAACAGATTTTGAATGCATGACTATGAAAAAGCCCGCTTTATTCTTAAATGTTTGCGTGGGCCTAATTGATCTTCCTAGTATGGCATACAGTTCTAAATGGATGTGGCCACTGTAAAACTTTGTGGCCCACCCCGGTCATGGCATGACATGTGTACAACATACATGGAGAATAACACACTCAGCTGTGCTGCTATTAAAAGAGCTCAAATCCCCAAGTATTTCTGTGTCAGGGGGCGTCTGTCATGTTGGAGGAGCTCTGAGAGCGAGCTGCTGACGCTGCAGTTCCTCAAAGGACAGAAACCCAGAGTCCAGAACACCTACAAACTACTGAGACACAGTAAGTGTTTCTGATTTTCATTTGCTGAAACCTGGAGGTCAGTTAATAGAGTCCGAGTCTGAATGTGGCGACAGGAGAGACTGTCAAACATCTTTAAGTGACTCTTCTTTGTTTCTGATTCTGAAAAGCTGCAGCAGGGAATACGTTCTTATTTTCCTCTTCAGTGTTTGATTGACTTTATGAATGTCTTGGCTGTAAGGTTGAATTATATGGCGTGTTCCTCTGAGCCTTTGTGACGGATACCTGATCTATTTGTAGAACAGTTTATATTTAGAGGTTGTTCCTTGACAAACAGCCAGTGCTTGTGTGGTAAACTAACAACTCAAAAAAGCCTGAAGGACAATTTACAGTATAGGAGTGCAAAGTTTGAAATGTTATAACTGTTCTTATTGAGTTTGTCACTGATTTAGTAGCTTATAGATATATTTTCTCCATGTAATAATGAAAATATGGCTCATTTCTGTGGGGTTGATGTGTGTCTCTTTGTCTTTTTCATATTGTTCTAATCTCCTGAAGGTTGTTCTGCTCTTCTTTGTGATCATTTTGCATGATGTTGTTGTTGTTGTTGTGTCTCCTTGTGGTTATGTTTTTGATTATTTTAATGTTGTTGGTTATGTGCCTCCAAGTAGTTTCTTCATCTGTTTTTGGTTGTTCTGTCTCTTTGTGTTGATTCTTTCTGTTGGTATTTGAATCTGTTTGCGCTACTTTTAGAATTATTGCATCTCTTTGATGCCATGCTGCTTCGCTTCATTGTTTTGTGTCCAGTCGTTGTCTGTATGTAGATTTTATTATATTCTTATTCATTTTGAAACTAGAGATGTATTAGAGACCCGATGTTATGTCCCAGTTCACCTGACCTCCGTGTGTACAGTTATCGATCCATTAATGAGATGTTTTCCCTTCATTATTCAAACCAGACAGGTTTAGTTGTCTTTACTAAATGGTTTTTATTATTTGACTGTTTTTACAATGACGAGATATCAGGTCAAACAAATATGTTGCCTTAAACTATAAATTCAAATTCAAAATTCCCAAAAGAGTGTTTTAAACCCCTAAACTTATTTTGATAAAAGTGATTTTATTTGAGAATGGGATTTCTCCTCGTGACATATTCTCTCTGTCACTATAATAGTGTATCTGTATTTTGTATTCTTTCATTTAGACACATCACTGATGTGATGTTTATCATGCTATTTCAGTTCTGATGTAAGAACATGGTTAAAATGTCTTCTCTGTTTTGATTCCAGAGATTAGCTCTAGATTTAAAATGGTTGTAGAGGGTGAGATGGAGTCCAATGTTACGGAGTCGGAGAGCTTCTGGGTATGAAACGCTCCTTTTTTTAAATTTAGACGCCATCCCATCTCATCTGCATCATCAGAAATAATATTTCATTTTGAAAGCATGTTTCAATATTTGAACATGCTTCAATGAGAAGAAAAACAAAACATGTTAGCTAACCTTATAGCCTCCATTACCACCTCAATATTGGTTATTGTTGTTGAAGAAATTGTTTAATATTTTGGATTCCTTGTTGTTTTTTCCACAATATATAGATTAACCGACTGGTGCCACTTTCACATCTGTGCAGTAAAGATGAATCAGCAGTCATAAGACAGTTGGTGTAGCATAAAGACTAGAAACAGAGGGGCAACAGCTAGCCAACCTTTTCCAAAGTGACACATTTCCAATTGTGAAAATGAAATTTTAGGATTCTGGTGCAGGATTTTGAGAGATTTATTCAGAGCCAAGCTAGCTGTTTCCTCCCACTTCAAGTCTTTGCACTAAACTAAGTTAGACTAAGCTACTCATACCAGCTGCTTCATTTAATATGAACATCCATATGTTCCTTTAAGAATTTGTGAAAGGAAAAATATAAAAGTGTATGCAAATTTTCCAGGACATCCTGCAGGAGATGGACCCGGTGTGGACCACCACAGTTCTGCTAGTACCATGTGTGGTGGTGCTCACAGCTGGATTTTTCTACCTGTACGGTGTGGTGATGGGTCTGCTGTCCAAAACATCAGTACGCAATAAGGTGGTGGTTATCTCTGATTCTCTGTCTGGGCTGGGAAAAGGTAACATAAAAATGATTAAAGAAATCTGAAATCCTCTTAAAAGTACTTGACCTAATACATTTAAAGCTGTTGCCAACTTTGTTTTGAAGAATGTGCAGGCGTGTTTCACAGAGGGGGGGCTCGGCTGATCCTCTGTGGGAAAAGTTGGGAGAAACTTGAAGAACTTGCAGATGATTTGGCAAATGCCTCAGACCCGACTTTAGTAAGTACAAGAATAATTCAAAGTTGCATTAAATAGATTTACCTCTAACAGTTATTCCTCCACAGACGTTTCCTCCTAAACTGGTGCTGCTGGATTTTGGAGACATGGACAGCATGCAAGAGGCTATCCAGGAGATCCTTGAGTGTTACGGCTGCCTGGATGTCCTCATTCTCAACAGCAGCATGAAGGTTAAAGCCCCAGCTCAGACTGTGTCTCTGCAGATGGACAAATTGCTCATGGACAACAACTACTTTGGACCAGCCACGCTCGCTAAAGGTATACGATACAAACACATAAACCAGATTTCAGTGTGAAACAATCGCTTCTTCTTTTTATCCACATTGTGTTCATAATGTGTGTTTTAGGTGTGTTTGTTGAGCATTTGTATGTCAAAAGTGTCAGACAGTATGTTCAGTATGTTAAACAATTCCTTTTTTTCTAAATGTATTTTGGGCTCTTACCTTTATTTCAATAGGACAGTGGATACAGTAAGAAATCAGGAGAGAGAGAGAGTGGGGAATGACATGCGGGAAGTCACAGGTCGGATTTGAACCTATAGGCCATCCGCTTGGAGGACTTTAGCCTCTGTACAATTGGCGCAACCTAACCACTAGGCCATCAGCGCCCCTGTTAAAAGAATCGGTATCAGGTGTGTTGTACATTTGTGTTTCAGGTGTGCTGCCGTCGATGATCTCCAGGAGAACTGGTCACCTGCTGCTGGTCAACAGCATCCAGGGGAAACTAGCTGTTCCATTTCGCACCACATGTGAGTGCAGAGTTTTTATTCATTCTTATGTTCTCTAATAAAAATCGAATTGATTCTGACACTTTGTTATCATTTCTTCGGGCCTGGTAGTGTTTACTGCGACTGTGTTTTAAATAAATTAAAGATTTTTAGCATCTCCAGTAGCATGGATAGATCAGTGTGGCACGTTTCTCCGACTGAAATGTCTCCAAGACACCTGATCTTTTCTCATAAAAGTTACTCTACTGACATTCATAGTCACCAGAAGATTAACCCTTGTCACATGCTGACTTTTAAAGTATCTAAACACATGTTCCCTAGAGAAGGAAGCATACTGAGTTTGATGATCCTCTGACGTACTTTCTAGGAAGAGGTAACAATTTGTAAAGTGGTGTTAAACTGCATTGCCATGACATCTGGATCAGAAAATCTTGTTCCCCAGGAAATTTACCCTGAAATATGGATTTGGATGAATATGGTGACTTATTTCCTTATTTAGAAGCATAAACTGTTAAAAGTTACTTCAATGTCTCAACATCTCCTTGATGTATTTGTACACAATTAGGTATAAATTTCAATGTTTGCCAGAGGATAAATTTGATGCTTTTTTTAAAGGATGACTTTACCTCTAGCATCCCCCTGAGGTTGACATACTAGGTTAAAAGCTCAACTATGTGCCTTAAAGTTTATCACAATGTTTTTGTTCCAAAAATGAAGAACCTTACTGAATAGACTGACATTTTATTTTGAGGCCAAAACAAGTTGACTCTTTTTTTACTTTTCCATTGAAACTCTTCATCATCCACCAATGGGTCACTCACCCCAGTTTCCTACTTATCAACTGTACTCTACAAAAAAGGCATTAAAAACAACAACAGCAGGAAAAAAAAATCCTAAAAACATACATGGTCTTCTGAATATTAGTCCTATTGACTTTATTCATCCCTTGACCTTTTCATCTTGAGCTTGTTGAATGGTTGAAATGTGTTGTTTACGGTGAAACTATTGGGTTTAGCATTAAATGGCAACTCTAACCTTAACCCTAATAATTTGTGTATTTTTGCAGATGCAGCCTCTAAACATGCAGTCCAGGCGTTCTTTGACTGCCTGAGAGCTGAGGTGGAGGAGTACGGCATCTCAGTGAGCACCATCAACCACACCTTCATCAGTACCTCGGCCTCTGGAAACAGTGAAACCCCTTCCTCTAAATCCATCTTGTCATGTGAGTCAAATCAAACATTATTGTGTTGTTGGACAACAGTTCACCATTGGAAACAAACAGATGACAGTGTCTCTCTCTCTTCACTGCTGCACAATAAAGATAAACAATAAAGATGTCAACTTTTGCTAAGTTTGAGGGCAGATCAGTCTAGATAATTTCAACTTCTTTAATTCACCTGTTCTTTCTCTCCTCTCGCTGCAGTACAGTAAATGTAAAATTAAGGTGTTCACTTTGTGATTAGATTAAGCCTATTTAGAAAAATTATAAACCTCTTGATGTTTATATCCACCTCTCTCTCTCTCTCTCTCTCTCTCTCTCTCTGCAGTCCTGTACACTAAGAAACCTCTAGGTGTTTCTCCAGAAGAGGCAGCGACCGAGATCATGAAGACTCTGACTAACAAGAGCAAGGAGGTGCTGATTGCTCCCTCTCTCCCAAAGGTGGCACTCTACACCAGGTCCTTCTTTCCCAACGTCTTCTTCGCTGTGATGGCTGCAGGTGTTAACCACGCTGCTGCCTCTGAGAACATGTAGATCTGCAGCCATAAACTGTGATGACATGAGGAAAGAATGATGGTGAAACTCATCAGTCGTAATGTTTGCTGTGGGTCTGAAGCTGCAAGCCGATTAAAGAAGTATAACTAATCACATGTTTTGTCTTGTCCTGCCATCAAATCATTTTGCTTCATTTAAACTCAGATAAAAAAAAGAACGTTTAATCTGCAGGTGTGAACTTAATGTGATGGCGTCACAAGTTCCTTCATCAGAATGAAATGTATTTTTATCTTAAGTGATTATCTTAAGAATAAACGGTAAAATAAAGACAATGTTGTACTTTTTCTTGTATTTTGGTGACTTTATTACATTAATATTACAAATAAAAGTCTTTGTAAAGTTTTTTTTTATTCTTCTCTAGTCTCTTACTTTATATTTTAATATTTTTACATCATATTTACTGTTTAAATTTACTAATAGCCTACCACACATGCTGAAAGAACAATTTCCAAATACAATATCAGCAAATTGGACTCAAATTAAAGCAATTTAAGCAAACACCTAAATTATTTTTAATCATTGATTATAAAAACATTTTAGTCTATTTGCCGTGTGGGTTGTTTGCTTGCTTCAGGCTAAGCTTTTGATTCCTTTTTGTCTATATGAATGCCAAAGCATAGGGATCTTTTAAGGACCTTTCCTTATAACACAGAAGAAAAAAAACATGAATGAAATAAAGATTTAATGTGAACAATAACAACTTTAATATCGTTATGTAGCCTAATTAGAATTTGTACATCCAAACATGTACATCATGACATATGCTTATGCCTTTCAAAGCAATATTATTGTAGTTTCATATTGTTTCTACTTCCGTTTGTTATAGACTTCAGGTGAGGTCTGGTAAAAGGTCATAAGACGTTAATTATTGTCCTGAGTGGATTCGACGCCCCCTAGTGGACAGTTTATTTAAAAAAAAACTACCACTACATGCTGTTCAGTCTACGTGTCTTGTAAAATGACTTCTAAACTCTTTTTCAGACTCACTCCTTTCGCTTTTAGATTCAGAGTATGTTCGCGCGTCTGTCGTTCGTTGAGCTCCGGTCAGAATTTAACGGTGGACCATGACAGACACAACCGACGCTTCACCGTGGCTCCGGGCAGAGAGACTGGTAAGCAGACGGGGCCGGGACTGACGCTCCGATGCTGGGGGAGATCCTGTAAGAGAGCCCCGGCGAGCCGGCGCGGCCTACTAGAACACCTGTGATTGCTTTGAATGAGTTTCCTGTCTTTTATAATAACATGCTGTTGTTATCCGACGGTGTTGATATCTGAAGAAAACCTCTTCTGAAATTTTCTATTCTTTACCTCTGCTTAAAAACAAACGCACTGCACACCTGACAGCTGTTGAAGTCCGCAAGCTGAGGTTTCAGTCTTCAGGCTGTGAGGTTGAGATGGGCATTGGCTTCTGTCAAACGGTTTTCAAAACTATACTTTGGCCATTTCATTTCTATCCATTGGCCTTTAAAATTGAACAAATTTTTTTTTTAATTCAATACCTGTTCTCATGATATTTAAAGATATAGAATAGTAATTTCTTTCTTTTGGGGTTTTCATGTTAACCTTGCTTGCCCTGTGTGCCCTCAGGTTCACAGGAGGATCATGCTGTGCTGCGCTACAGGTTCACGGGGGAACAAGAAGTGGATCTGATGTCAACATACGTACCTGAGATATTCAGGGGCCGAGGTGTTGCTGCTCTACTGTCACAGGTGAGTTTAACAAATACACATTCAGTCCTGTTTGTTGTTGTCGCTGCTGTTAAACATTATTACTTAATGAATGTTTCATTAACAGGCTGCTCTGGACTTTGTTGTTGAAGAAAACCTGAAGGCTCAGGTCTCTTGTTGGTACATAAAGAAGTACATCGAGGAGAACCCGGAACGTCATTATAAAGCGTGTATCCTCACCTGACTGCTGCCTGTCGGACCAGATTAAACTGGCTTTCTTACCTCAAACCAACACAGCCTCATGAACTTATCCGAACAGAAACCAGACTGGGACGTGAAGCTGCTCAATCTGAACTCTCTCACAGCTTCAAGGTTTTGAATGAGAGTTTGTCTGCTTGAGATTAGTGTGAAATCTTATCCGATTATGTTAATTTATTTAAATCTTGTTTAATCTTCTATCGGTCTCTTACATTTCCTCATGGAGTAGAGATATTTATTCATTATTCATTGTGAATATTCAGTGTGAGTTGGGACATGTTATTATGAAGGTAATTACAGTGTCTGCACACAAATTGACAAATAAAAGATAATTGAGTGTTCACTTAAAGCACCACCAGAAAGCTGATTTCTTTACACAAATCATTTTATAAAGAATCTTTAGCTTTATTGGTCATCAGTCAGTTCCAAATTAGACTATCTTTTTTAACCATATTTTATACAACATCTTCAATTAGTACGTTCAAATTAAAATGTTGAGCCTGAGTGTGTCATGTGTTTTTTCCAGTAGATGTCAGTGTGACTCTACCACAGACATTTCATACATGATTTCTGTTCTCTCAGCGTTTTTAAAGCTCAAATTACAAACTATTGAACATCCATCACACCGTAAGAACCAATCGGAAAGAAAAAGCCGGAATACACTCAAACAGCTGCTGTTTTAAAGAAAATGAGGGAACAAAAATACAAATTCCTGAGTTAAAAAAAGAAATAAAGGTTTATTTTGTAATCGTTGACAGGAAGGGTTCAAATAAATGAACCTTCATTTGCCTGTGAGCAGCCCTAATCTTGATAAATGTCTTCAATTTAAAAAATATGTGAACCCATACAACAAATTCTGCACCATTAAAAGAGTAAAAAAAAAAAAAAAAAAAAAATCTTCTTCCTACATTTTTGAACATCCTGTCAGACGTGTCTGTATGTTCACGTTCTGTAAATCTGCCAGCAGAGATGATCTTCTCATGAACCGACACAGAAAGAGCTCAGATAAATCTGCCCATCTGTTCCTCAGAGACCGCCATGATTATAACACACACAAACACACGCACGCACGCACACATACACACACGCAGGATGTGCTTTTTGTTTCCTGGAATCTCTCCCCACATGTCATGAAGGTAAACATGATGATGAACAACGAGACGTCCATCAGATGACCACAGCTGCACCACATGCGGGAAACTCCTCTTTGTGAGCGTTATTTTGTGTTTCTGTGGTTTCCTTGTGTCTCTGTCGTTGTTTTAAGTCTGTCATCCTGTAATTGACTTTTAAGCTTGTTCAGTTTTGCATCCATCATGCTTTAGTGCAATCATGTTTTCTCTGAAGCTATATTCACACAAGCACAAAACTCTAAAATTTCTGGAATTTTTCAGGGTGAGCTGCCCGTGTGAACACAAACAGCCATGTTTTTATTCCAGTCTTTCCAGGAGACTTGCCCGCCTATAAGATGCAGAGGTGATCTGATGAGTGATCGCAGCTGGTAATATTCAGGAAAATTCAATGGTAGCGAGTGGAAGGGAGTGATGGCGTTTATATTTTGCAACCAGCACAACATTGTGCACGTAATGAAACTGTGACATTATGTTTTTGTATGCCAGGATGTTCAGCCCCACTTTATCGTTGGTACTTCAAATTTGTCCAATTACATGGAGCGTTGATATAAAGGCAAAAACTGTCATCAAAGCTTCAGACTCTGTTGCTCGTCCGCCATCTTGGCACATCATTTTTTTTTTTTTTTTTTTTTTTTTTGCATGGTTTGCTTCCTGGGACCGCCCACCCCACCTCTCCCTTCTAACAAGGAAAGCTTCCTGTTGGAAGGGAAATGGGTGAATAAGCAACTCAAGAAGATTTCAGGGGTAGGCTGCCTGTAATTTTTTTTTCAGGAGCTCACGTGTGAAAACAGCTTGAGATTGTTTCTGTCCCTGATCTTTTCTTTTGTCCGGCTGAGAAATGACCACAGCTCAGAGACAAACAGGTAAGTCAAATTGTAAGAGACTTAACATATAGAAAAAAACGTAATAAAAACCGTCATAAAGAATGTGATCGTTCTCCTGCCCGTCCTCGAGGATCATTGTCAAGACATTTATCATTCTGCTCCCTCTCTCCTCCCACAGATAAAATCGCACGGTCAGATTAAATTAATGCATGTTGTGTCACACCATGTCACATTATTTCCAAGAAAACAATCCTTATTCGGCCTTACTGACACACATCTGATCTGTGCTGATCCTCAAACAAACATGTATTGTCCTGTTAGAGAAACTAAAATCCAGGGGAGAGTGGATCCTGATCCAGAAAAACCCTGACCCTGTCCCAGTGCAGGAGGACAGACAGTCTGTGTTCAGCAGTACGCCTCCCCCTGTGTCTCTGCGCTGTCTTCCTGCTCCACCTCATATGTTGTCCCGTTGGATGGTTTGTGTCCATTGAGCTGGGGGTCGAGCTGAGCCTCGGGGTCCGGGGTGTCGGCGGGGTCAGAGGTCAAGTACATGTCCCACACCTGCTCGGGAAGGTCAAGCTCTATCATCTTCTGCTTGATCATGAGATTCTTCTCGATGTTTCTCCGCTTGTATTTAAACTCTATGATGGTCTTTGTGTACCTGTTGAGCGCCGTCACTGCAGAACCCATACATGTGCCAAAAGAGCCCCACGCCAGGCTGCGGACACAATGCAAATACAGAGAAAGAGCAAAGTCACACTACGGCAAAAGTTAGAAATGTGATTCTTTCTCCAAACTCAGAGTCTTGGGAAATATAAACTTAATATTTCAGCTGTTTTGTATGAAACAAAATTAAACTGATAACACATGGGCTGGTGGTATAAAATGTGTGAACTCACTTCTTTCACTATAAAGTATAATCTGTCTATCTTTAGTCATGTTATTTATAATTGTGTGAATGTATGCAACATATTTTGGCCACAAAACTTCGAAAAAAATGAGGAGAAAAATAGGACCAATTGAATGTACAATACTGTGTTCCCCACAGTTAATACTGTAAGTGTTAGAAAACGCAGAATAGTTACCATGGAAGAACTTAATATAGAAATAAATCTGCTATAAAATCTGCTTTAATAGAGAGAGATTTGAACTTGGTAGATGGTAGCCACCATCAGGAGGAGTTGTTTAACAGTCCCTCTATTCATATTTCAAATAAAAAAGAAGTTACATTTAATGTGGAGTGTCTCTCCACTGTCCAGCTGCTAGGTAGCAGGTTAAGTAGAGCAGGTAGTCAATGTTTTTAGTATTACCACTGTGAGGAAAATGTGTGGTAGATTTCATCTGTAGTTGCTTTTTCGCCAGCCTTAAAATGCCATTCAGGACCGATGTCATCAGTTGGAGCAGAGAAGAATTAGCCCGCAGTAAAAATTAATATTAGGAAAGATTTTCCAGACTTGTCTTTAGGTAGCCTGTTTTTTCACAGTATCAGAAAATCATGCTCACGCATAAGACCAGCTGTAGTCCCAGGTTTTTGGCCTCCAGTCCTCTGGTCCCATAGCTACAGCCAGCTGGAAGATGGTGGTGAACATCATGTGGGCCACCATCCCACAAAGGCCTGAGAAGGACAGGAAACCAATGTGTTAAAACTCATTAAAACTAACTACAGAAAATAACATAATCTAAAGATTTAGAGCATCTGAAGAAAAGTCCAAACAATTATATTGGCCACCATTGTTGAAATCTAAATGTCCAACCCAGTGGCCAACCCAAAGTCCTGAACTATGACTGGCTGTTTGTCAAATCAAGTATTTTGGCCGTGTTACAACAGGCTGCTGGTAGCTTCCTTTGCATTTTTATGTAGCCCATTTCATTAGTTAGTATTTTAAATAGTGACTTTCCATAAGTCAGTTCGGTTCAGCCACCCCAGTCAAGAAAGTCTGGATAACTCTGACTCTGCTTTACTCAGACTTTAAATCCTCACAGTGCTCAGGAGCTGTGGAGCTCTGTGACCCTCCACAAATTCATCAGACATGGCAACAAGTGTTTCCAGCTCGCATGGCTCTGATGTGTATTTTTCACATCGTTCAGAAAATGTAAAAACAAACAAATAATCCTTCCACCTGTCAGCGCAAAGACACACCTGCTGTTCAGACTAGATTAAATCTAAAACGCTCTGTGTAAACAAAATCTCATCATTCACAACTGCTCCCCACATTCACCAGACAAAGAATCTGTAAGACACACAGTCTGTTGGTGCCTTCTGATCAAAGAGTCCAGTAGTTTTAGCTGCTTTTAAATGTGCCACTTAAATGAATCAAATGTAGGTTGTAAAACAATCAATGACCTAAACAAAACTGTGACAGTTTAATTAAATAGTGGTTAAGATATCACAAGATATGGTGCAGCTTTAGAAGAGACTTCAGTCTGACACTGAAATCTACCCGTAGTTGATGACTTTATGTCAGTTAATTTAACCAAACCTAATTATGTGTAGACATTATTAAAATAATTACAAAAAAAATTGTTTCCTGCAGTTTTCCTGCAAAGGAAAAGTGCATTCCATTTATTTGATAGAACAGAATCTGAAGCATCATTTTAAAACAAATGTTTACTTTAACTATTATATTGTGTAATGTTGTGTTATGTCTCAACACTGTCATGTGTGATAATCAGGTTGGGGTTTAGGTGAACTCTGTGTTATCTCTCTAGTCCTCTATCATGCAGCGGTTTCCCTCTACAGCTGCTTTTCTCGGGATTAGAGCGTACCAACAGGGGGAGGGGTAATGGAGGGGGTGGGGGGTGGGGTGGGGGTATTCAGGAGGGAGCTCCTCTGGGCAGGTCTTGGCTCAGCCCAAACCGCTGCATGAGTTCCAATCCGATTAGTCCACAAAGCAGCAAATCCTCCGAAGTGGTCAGTGAACGCAGCATAGTTCGCTGCTGTGCTGTATCCAGACCTGCTCCTCTTCTTCCTCAGAGTGTTCACCTCAAACACAACTGATATCAGCTTAATGCTACATGCCACACAGCTTTAAATGCTTTATTATAACAAACCGATGTAGAATAACAGAGTAGTCCTCAAAGGGGCATACTAAAAACTAAAAATGTAAATGTCTTGACTTAAAAAAACATGCAACATACTGGATCATACATATTTTACAGAACATATTACTTTTTTTTTAACACAGACCACAGCATTTTGTTTTAAAACCTCAACAAATATACTTCCAAAACCAAATCCAAACCAGTACTGACCAGGTGTCCAAAACATTTCTGCAGTGTTATTAACTCATTACATAACATCACATGGAAATCTCCTATTAACAGGTAGAGGCCCCTTCAAGTAGTAGTTTGTTCACAGGTAGCCAACATGTGTGGCGATATAGGCCCTTACACATTGTGAATCAGAAACAGCCCCTCAACAAATTTCTGCCATCATAACACCTTTGTGCTTATACAGTGCATATTCCATTCCATTGGGATACCAATTTTATCCCAGTGTGTGATTTCACTTTGCGTTATGACATTGCAGAAGCTCAAGGGGGAACACGGAAAAACAGACAGCCGTCGTTCACATTCACACACAGCGAAACATGTTCACCCACACACAGTGCTGCTGCAGCTTGCCGGCTCCGGGGTTACACCTTCTTTAATCTGTTATACTCTGTATCCCTCCTTAAACTGGTTAACTGGCAATATGTAGACCGCAACAGAAGAATGCTTTTTTTCTTTGTATTTCAAAGAAAAAAAGCATTCCCCCACTCCTCCCATGCTCGGAGGCTAAAGTCAACATGAGAGATTAACAACAGAACAACGATTGAGTGATTGTGTAACTGCTGTAAGTCAGAACAAACATCCACCTGCTGTCAGCCTGTGTTACAGAACACAAGACAGGTAAGTAGGTCTTTTTTACATAATAAATCAGGTGAGTTTATGATCTGTTACTGTTACCTGACAGGGCAGTGCACAGGGCGGCAAAGGCACTGAGCTTCAGTTTGTTCATTATGCTGAAACAGGGACACTGCTCCAACGCCATCAGAGCGCCCCCTGCGAACAGGAGAGTGAGGTACAGGCTCTCTGCCACAATACATAACCACAGCACACCTGCACACAGGACACAGAGTGGAATCACAAGAGATAGAAAGTCATACACAATAACACAAAGACACAATAAGTCACAAGTCCTCATCTGACCCTGTTATTAGATCGTAGAAAACACATCAAATCTTCAACACAAACACATCTTATTATCAGTTAATTTGATGAACATCTAATTTTTTACTTTCATTCAGGACTACATTATGAATCCCCCAAAGCAGGTCATATGTTTAGTTCATTCAGGGCATTATGGACTAAAACTACCAGCCAGAGGAACAGTGAGAGGCAAAATGACAAATGTCAAAAAAGCAATGTAGGCAGCTATGTAAAAGATTCAATATTCAGGAGAGCACACTCGTATGCCGCTCTCCATCATGTTTCAAAGATTTAAACAGACTTTAGAAGGTCAAACTTTGATTTTTTTTACCTCGTTCATGTTCAGGTGCAATCTCTGAGAAATCTCGACAGTCAAAGCCTGAGATCAGAAAAAAATACAGGAACATTAAAATAATGAACAAAATTATTTATTTTTCTACCGATCTGGGATTCCTTTATCATGTCCAAGCAAGTTCCATTCAATGTCATTTAGTTTTAGTTTCCTGAAAATTAGAAGGTGGATTCAAACTAATCACATCAGATAGGGTTACCTTCTGTTCTTCTATTTACAGTTAAAGTAACTCCAGGTAATGTTAAAGAGATGCTGAAGGAGCGTATGCAGACCTTAGAACTCGACTCGACGTGTGACACAAAATTTTAAAGAACAGGTTTACCATACAAACACAGAAAGTCCTTTCAAAGTAAAAGTAATTACTGCTGGTTGCGTAACAGAACATTTCAAAACATGGATATTCAGCCTATCTGTTTCCAGGATATTTTCTTCATTTAAACGATTTCCTTGAAGTGCTTTTTTTCTCATGTGTTCCCATCTATTCAAAGATTCCTCCTGAGTTTAAAAAACCCGATAGAAAACAGATAGAAATGATTTTAAATCTGGTTCTCATTAGCATTAGCTCCGCTACCAATTCTCAAAACTACAGAGTAATGAGTGAGAGTTACATAGATACCTTTTTTAATTTTGAAGGTAATTCATACACACACACACTAAGATCTTGCAGAGTGATCTTAAGAACTGTACACAGTATACACATTATAACAGTTCATAGATTTTCCTATTTACTGATCTTCTTACGGGTCAGCTTGAAGGCTCTAAAATCTAACTCACCCAAGAAACATACATTTTAAGAAGCACCAGCTCACATTTTTTTCTGATTTTGTGTTTTCCTTCAGCTCTCTTCTCCTTAATGTAAAGTGGGCGGAGTCTCTTCAGAATAAAGGTGCAGTTTCTTACCGTTCATGTCGGCGGCCTGCTCACAGGAGAAAAAGATCCCTGTGTGAAACTTCCTCATTAGGAACTTCTCCTCTCCTGTCTCAAAGATGTACTGCACCAGGCGGCTATCGTTGATGTTGGAGCTGTTGAAGCGAATGCAGAACCACTGCTTCACCTTCATTGGCGGCCCTGTGCAGAACGGTTTGGGCACCTTCCTGGTCCCCTCACACCAGTAGCTGGTGGTCACCGCTGACAGGGCAAAAGCAAACGCCAAAAAATTGAGGGTGAGTGCCAGAGAAGCCCGCCGGCCGCGCTCTAGCCTCATGGTCGAGGCCCGGCCGAGGAGAGGAAATGAAAAGGCAACTAATCCTGGATTTCAATATGTAGCTCCGTGTTTCCCTGCAGAAATATCAAATCTTTATAATCTTGTTGGTGTGGGGCTCCAAGAGCAGGAATCCTTCACATCCCTCCGCCGGTTCTCATCATGAGCTTCGACCTTTTTATTAAAAGGTTCATGTTGTTCACCTCCACAGAAACCAGACAAACCCTGACAGTCCACCGACGCTTCATCTAAACTCTGTTCTCTCTGCTGCTCCAACAAGAAGTCGCTCCTCCCCTCACACAAATCTTTGCCTCTGATATTATCCATTACAAATGGCAAATTATATTCCAGACTTCCTTTGAACAAATTATTACAAAAAAGATTACTATGGGCTTAGGTTATAATCCAGGACAAGGTCCTTCATGCTGATTTTTCTGCATTTCATGTCTGACATAAGATCGTAGTCTTGATTTACAGTGGCTGTCCTGTGACATAATACGTACAGTCTCATGTTGAAACCTATCCATCGCCAAATCTCTGCTCAACTTCAGTCTGACCGATCAATATCTGCTGCTTCTCTCATCTGTCCTTCCCATGCTGCATTTTTCTACATCTATCATTACACTTTGTACAGATATTCATGCTCCCCAGGGGATAAATCCTCTAGATTTTTTGTAATCCTCTGACTTGGTTGGTTCATCATTTTTTGAGTCACAGGTTCAGAACAACTTTGTCGACTTTTCATCACAGTGTCATCCTCAGTTAACTTGAAGTTCTACAAAATTGTATTCATGACCAAGTACCCTGCTGAACTGATGACATTAGCTTACTCTGTACTTTGAAATGTCAGCATGAAAATCAGACACACTGGTTGAAACATTACACCTGCCTAGCATTAGCGAGTTAGCATCATCATCACGACCATGTAGGCATTTAGTTAAAAACGCTGCTGCCACAGCCACACTCTGACCGTTTACTCAGTTTCATCATGCAGGTCAAACATCAAATATCAAAGGGATACAGCGCTGCAGGACCAGTCAGATTTAAGTCCTCTGGCTGAGAATCACAAACACTGACCACATTAATGTTAAAAGACTCCCCAGCAGGAACCTCTAACACAGGAAGTATTTGTTTCTTTGTTCTTCAGTCTGCCGAAAGGTTTCTTCATCCTAAAATGTTGATTCAAGTTTGAGTAAATTCACCTTTAAAATTAAGCTTGAGTCTACAAGGAGCTAAAGCACAGAGTAATTGTTCTGTATTCAAAGAGACAAAAGATAATATTCGGAACATTAGCCTCCATTTCATTAAAAAATCCCAGCACTGGAGTTGATGAAAATTTCCTTGACTCAACATCTTTTACATAATAAATACCAGGTGGGAGGGGCTGGGTCATTTTTCTGTAGAATAAGATTATTTGAACGACTGCCTTTCCCAGCAGATGTTCTGAGCATTATATGGCAAAGACTGGATGTTATGTGAATGGTTATGTGATGATATTTAAACGACAGGAATTGTGGTTCCTTAATCTGAGGGCTGGATTGACCCTCTCGGGCCATGTTCAGTGGAGGAAAATCCTGTTAAATTTGTAGCCAACATATGTGTAACAGTGTACAGTATGCTGCAGGATTATGAGGCGTGTGTCACTTTGTTTATCATGGTGTCAGACTTAAGCAGCAAGCCTCTCGGTCCCTGCAGCATGAAAGGATCTGTGAACATCTGCACAGAAACTGTTAAAGAGGACATATTATACCTTTTCCACCTTTTCAAACTGTCCCCCTGTGGTCAAAAATGAAACCTCTGTGCTGTGCTTTGGTCAAAATATAACATGAATCAAGCACCAGAGGAGGTTTGTGACCCTGTATGAACCAGCTTGCAAAGAGCGCTCTGTTTTGGTGTGTGTGTCTCTATAATTGCAAAACATGACTTTTCCTGGTAGACATCACTCCTCTGTAGAGATAATAAAAATGGCAGACCTGCACAATCCTTTTGCTCTAGGCTGGGGGCGGAGTCCATGGGTGGAGATACCAGGGGAGGAGAGGGGATTTTTTTTTTTTTTTTTTACCGGAATCCTACTTGTGATGTCACAAGTTGAGCAAATTTAAAACGGAGCATTTTTTTCTGCGTTGTAAGACTTGGATGGGTTTCTTTAACATTTTGTGGGTCGGTAGACACTCAGGTTACCCAAATGAATGTTCAAAAACACTGTAAAAGTGGATTTTTCATAATATGTCCCCTTTAAGACCAATACATACAAAACACAAAAATCCTTTGCACATATATTTCACGAGAGTCATGTGTCTATAGTAAACAGGCAGATAATCTTCTGCACACTGTCTAACTTCCAAATTTATACAGATATGTTTGTTCACACATACATGCATACACATATAAAGGGACATCATACACAATCACACATTAACTGTATACATACATAAACACACATATGCACACATATACAGCTATTTAAAATAAATTTAAAAAATACATGTGCCCTCATTAAAAGAATGAGCGCTCAGCGAGAAACCCTCTCCCATACGCATATTGCGACCCCCAACACAATGACTTTGCCATGCATGCTAGCATATCAAACATAATCAACAGAGGTGTTTTTTTTGGTAGTTTTGAATAAATACAACATCCTTGTTTTCTAGTTTAAATCTTTCTCTATCCTTATGGAGCACATCTACTCTTCCCAGTTCTTTAATTACCTGCGCTGTCCTTGGTTTTGGCACCACTGCAGCAGATGGTCTTGCAATCTAGCCTGAGACTAATACACTGGAGACACAGATAATCTAATCCCATTGTAGAGGAGCGCCATGCAGGGTTCACTACGAAAGTCGCCTGTTTGATCCATATTAGTGCAGATTTCCCAAAGAACAAATGACCTGCATTGACAAAAAAAAAAATATATATTAAGCAACATATGGCAGAGACAATTAGACAAAGATTACAAAAAGGCAGACATATGAAGATGGATTCAATGTAGAATAAAATACAATCATGATTTTATGCAGTCTGATTTAATAAATATCTGAGTCATTGAGCCTGTGAATGGAAATATGTTCTTCCAGTTGTAGAACCTTCAGTATCAGCCTTCTGCTGTGTTCAATTCTTTGTTTACTCCTGGTTACTCCTACGTGGTTATCCCTTTAATCTTCAGGACAGCTGTCTGGATTTACGGAGTGAGAACCATAATCCAGTTTGGCGCCTTGAGGGGTGAACAAGTAGAGAAACTCAAACTGGTCCAGAGGTTTTGACCCCAAACACAGAGATCAGGATCACAGAGATACAAACAGTCTTTACTGAGAGTCCGTCTGCAGGATGGGAAACACGAAGAGCAGCGCTTTGTCCAAAGAACTCCTGGAGGATCTGAAAT